CCGCAGCCGCCAGCCAGCCGCGCCGCACCTTGTCTGCCTGCACCTGCTGCTTGAGGCCGCGCAGCGCCTGGATGGCGGCGCCGCTGGGGCCCTGCACCTGCTGCGCCACATCACGCAGCCGCCCCTCGGCCTGCGGGTACTCCTTGCTGCGGGCGGGGGAGGGGCAGGTGGCAGGTGGCGGCAATAGCGTGGGGAAGGGGCTGTGGGCACAGTCGAGCAGCACAGCCAGCGGTGGGAGGCGCTAGCAGCGAGCGGCCCAGGCGCCGCAGGGGCACGTGCGGCGCTGTCGCACAGCAGCAGGGGTGCTGGGCCTGAGGGGCGGCAGCGGGCCCGGCATGCCCGCCGCACCTGAGCCAGGCCAGGCGGTGCCAGGTGTCGTCAAACACATCCTCCTCCGCCTCCGCCTTCTGCGCCTCATTCTCCTCCCGAGTGCGCCGCGTCTCCTGCAACGGTGGCAGGTGGGGCAAAGGGGCGGTGCAGGGGTTGGGGAGCCAGCGGGTGCAGGCCTCCAGGTGCAGCAACGGGATCCCTGGGGCAGATGGCGGGGGTGGGGGGAGGCCAGCGGGCACTGCCCGCAGGGTGCCCGGCCCGCCCGCGGTGCAGCCAGCCCCGCACCGTACCTGCTGCGCGGTGGCCACATCGCTGTTGGTTGCCTCCAGGTCGTCGATCCAGCGCTGGATGTCGCGCAGCAGGCCCTCATAGTTGGTGGGCACGGCAGGCGGCGGCGGCACGCGCAGCGCGGCATCCAGCAGCTGCCGCACCGCCTCGCGCACGTCGCGGGCCCGGGGTGCCGCCGGCTGCAGGCGCAGGCAGGCAGGCAGCGGGGCAGGGGCACAGGCGGTGGGGCCTTGTGCTTGGTCTTGTGCTCCGCAGAGAGCCCAGAGGGCAGGCTGGCAGGCAGGGCAAAGGTTGACTGGAGTGGGAAGCCTGGAACGTGGCAAGGGGCAGCGCCCCCTACCAGGGCCACTCCCTCCGCCGACAGATCTTCCCGCCAACGGGTCACGGGAGCATCCAACCCGGCCTGGGCCTTCCTCCGGGGCGGCCTGCCCGTGCAAAGGCACACAACCAAAGCTTGAACCACCGCCACTGGAACCCCCCCAGGAATGCCCAGCAACAGAGCAGCAAAGAAAAGCGATAGGCGGTGCTGCAGCGGCCAGCAAGACCCACCTTCTTGGCCTCGATCCGTTGCTGCAGGTCCTGCAGAGCCTTGATGGCGGTGCCAGCCGGCGCCGCCTGGCTGCCCACCCCCTCCACCCGCGCCTCCGCCAGAGGGTACTGCTGGCTGCACGCAGGCAGCAACGCGAGCGGTGCGCAGCATCATCAACCAACTAGTCAGCTGCTTCCCTGACAAACCAATATGCAATGACGGCATCCTGGCAATGTTTCAGCAGGCGGGACGACTGGCAGGACAGGCTCCGCACCTGAGCCATGCCAGGCGGTGCCAGGCCTCATCATAAATGTCCTCCGCAGCAGTGGCCTTCTCGGAATCATTAGCCTCGCGCTTCTGCTTCATCTCCTGCACTCAGAGGCGCGCGCCAGCCAATCGTGTGCTGCTCAGCTCACAACGCTTTCCACACAGCAAACAGACCCACACAGCAGGGGCACAGTGTGTCAGCTGGCCAGGCAGCAGCGTTGCACTGAGCCAACCTGCTGCGCCGCCTCCACATCGCTGTTGGTGCCCTCCAGCTGCTCAATCCACTCCCGGATGCCAGCCAGCACGCTGCTGTAGTCAATCGGCACCGGCGGGACGTCGGGGATGCGCCTGGCCTCCTCAATCGCCAGCCCAACCATCTCACGCACGTCGCTGCCATGAGGCGCCTCGGGCTGCACACACAGGTGCGCGGCCAAGCACAAAACACAAGCAAGCAAGTGAGCCTCAAGCAGGAAGAAAGTATCCATCGATGGAAACCATGGACACAACAAGCCTGCGAGCCATCAAACACAACACCAAGTGGGGTAGCACATCACGGCGGTACCCACCAGGCCTGCTGTGTCCAGGCCCTGTGCGCTCAGATCTGCAAGCAGCGTGCCGACTGCCGCCTCCAAGCCAGCCTGCGCCTCCTCCAGCGGCGGCTGCACCAAAAGAGAAGGCACCATACAGGTGAGGCCAAACTGTAGCTGCAAACTGGCAGTGGCAATGCTACCAGCAGCCAATTGACCGCCCTGCAACCAACAGCCCGTCACCACCCACCTTCTCAGCCTCAATGTGCTGCAGCAGGTCCTGCAGAGCCTTGATGGCGGTGCTGGCCGGCGCCGCCTGGTCGCCCACACCCTGCAGCCGCGCCTCCGCCAGAGGGAACTGCTTGCTGCAGGCCAGGGCAAGAAGCAAGGGCAAGAAACACTCAGTAGCTTGGTTCGAGGTTGCCGTCTTGATGCCCAACAAGCCAACCACACACCACTGTTGTACAGACTGCTGCCGCTTGGACCCGATCCTACCTGACCCATGCCAGGCGGTGCCAGCCCTCATCAAAGATGTCCTCTGTGGCGGCAGCCTTCTGAGAATCGTTCTCCTCGCGCTGCTGCTTGGTCTCCTACACTCGAAGAAGAAGCGGGAGGCGGCATGGTTCAGTTGCCCATTGCACTCCCTGCTTGCCCGACGAAGCACAGTGCTGGAAAAACAGCCATAGGCCTGTACAACACAGGCCGATGAAGCAGGTGCATATCCCAGCAAACCTGCTGTGCCGCCGCCACATCGCTGTTGGTGCCCTCCAGCTGCTCGATCCACTCCTGGATGCTGCGCTGCAGGCTGCTGTAGTTGATCGGCACCGGCGGCGCCTCGGGGATGCGCCTGGCCTCCTCAATCGCTGCGGCAACCATCCCACGCACATCGCTGCCATGCGGCACCTCGGGCTGCATAGGTACGCACAACAGCGGCTCAGAGCTGCTGGACAGCAGAGTGGATGACACACGCAGCAACCACAACGGCCAATTCCGAGTAAGGCAAGCAGCCATCGCATGCCCCGGCAGCAGGCAGCAGCGACCCACCAGGCTGGCAGCATCCAGGCCCTGCTCCCCGAGTCCAGCCACCAGCGCTGCAATGGCAGCGTCGTACTTGGCCCGAGCATCCTCCACCAGCGGCTGTGGAGTAGAGCAGGCGAGGCATGGGGGACGATGTTTGGGGCATCAACGATGCACAGCTCTGGGCCTGGTGCCCAACAACCAGGCACAAGCAAGACGCACAAAGGCAAACAGCGTCCTCCAGCACACACCCACCTCATCCGCCTCAATGTGCTGCAGCAGGCTCTCCAGGGAACCAATGGCGGTGTCGGTGGGGGCCACCTGGCCACCCACCGCCTGCAACCGCTCCTCCACAAGAGGGTACTGCTGGCTGCACGCAGCGAAGAAATAGGGCGAGGCATCATACAGGAGTGCGATGCGCTGCATCTGAAGGTAGCCTGTTGCAGGTCACCTCCATATGACAACAAACACCCTTGCTCACCTGTGCCACGACAGCAGGTGCCAGCCGGCATCGAAAATGTCCTCTGCCGTCTGACCCAGCTTCGCATCCACATCGGCACGTGCCTCTTGCGCTGCCTGCAGCAGTTGAGAAATCAGGGACACAGGAATCAGCACACAGGAGAGTAAACAGCGTAAAACACTCTCACGGCATCAACCAGGAATCAGAATTCCCTGCACCGCACCTGCTGCGCCGCCTGCACATCGCTCTGGGTGGCCTGGCAGTCCTCAATCCACTGCCGGATGTCGCGCAGCAGCTCCTCGTAATTGATGGGGGGCAGCGGCGGCGCCTCGGGGATGCGCTTGGCCTCCTCCAGTGCCTGCCCCACCAGCCCACGCACGTCGCTCGGAGCGGCAGAGGAGGGCTGCACACCAAGAAGGGGAACCAGCCACAAAGAATCAGTCAGCTGTACTGACGAAACAAAGCAGGGATGTAGGCCTGACAACCGGAGAGGCACCAGTGGCATTGCTGCATGACCCAGTGCCCCAGTCACAGCAGCCACCCCCAGCTCACCAGGCTAGCTGTGTCCAGGCCTTGGGTCCCCAGATCTGCAAGCAGCGTGCCGACTGCCGCATCCAGGCCAGCCTGCGCCTCCTCCAGCGGCGGCTGCACCAAAGAAAGCAACGCAACGCAGGTCAGACAAGAGCTTGCTTGATGACAGCTTCAGCATGCAGCCAATCAACCAACCGCCAGCGCACCTTGTCGTCCTCGATGCGCTGCTGCAGGGCCCTCAGCGACACGATGGCGGCTGCGGTGGGCACCACCTGGCCGCCCACACCCTGCACCCGCTCCTCAGCCAGAGGGAACTGCTCGCTGCAGGCAGCAGGGGAGCGCGCAACAATGCCGGGCATTGGCCAGGGCGGCAGAAGCATGATACTCTGACAACACAGCCTGGGGCGTTCGGCAAAAAACACATGCAACCTTGCAGCCACCCTACCGGAGCCATGTGATTTGATGCCAGCTCTCGCGCTCTTTCGCATTTGCCACCACCTTCTGGATTGCCACAGCATGCTGCGCCTCTGCCTCTTCCCGGCCCTGCTGTGTCTCCTGCACTCGGAATGCCAGCAGAGGTGCCAACTCTCATCCCGGGTTGCTCACAGACAGCTAGCGACCTGGAGCACGCGCTGCACTGAACCCACCTGCTGCGCCGTCGCCACATCGCTGTTGGTGCCCTCCAGCTGCTCGATCCACTCCTGGATGCTGCGCTGCAAGCTGCTGTAGTTGACTGGCACCGGCGGAGCCTCGGGGATGCGCTTGGCCTCCTCGATCGCTGCGGCAACCATCCCACGCACATCGCTGCCACGTGCTGCCGCTGGCTGCAGGCCCCCGGGGCACAACCACATGCACGTGAGCTCCTCAGAGGCATATGGGAGGCATGCAGGGGTGCAGCACGCATGCAGTTGCATGGCAGTCCGCTGCACTGTCACGTGGACCCATCGGCGAGACACGCGCATCACAAGGCAGGACGCACCAGACTTGCTGTGGCCAGGCCCTGTGCAGCCAGCGCTGCAAGCAGCGTGCCGACTGCCGCATCCAGGCCAGCCTGCACCTCCTCCAGCGGCGGCTGCATCAAGCAGGCGCAGGGGAGAAGCACAAGTGGGTGCCAAGCTGGGATACCAGGAGCATGGTCCATGCAATGCAACGAGCATCCAGCCACCCAACAGCTGTAACGCACCTTCTCATCCGCAATGCGCTGCTGCAGGGCGTGCAAGGAGGTGATGGCAGGGCCAGTGGGGGCCACCTGGCTGCCAACCTTCTGCACCCGCCCTGCCATTAGAGGGTACTGCTGGCTGCAGGCAGCACAAGAACAGGCAACAAATCACCAGCAAGGAGTCAGCTCAGCTTTCGCAATGCACTCCTGCTTGCGGAGAGGCAACACACATGGCTGCCCAGCAGAGCGCTGCCCAGCAGGCATGGCGGGACGCCCTCATGGCATGCCTGCAGGACACGCCTCCACACCTGAGCCATGCCAGGCGGTGCCAGCCCACATCAAAGATGTCTTCCATTGCGGAGCCCTTGTGCGCCTCATTCTCCTCACTGGCCTGCTTGGCCTCCTGCAGCTCGAAACACTTGCTGGTTGAAGACACGATGCCTGGCGGGCATAGAGAGAACAGCCACCCAAACGACGCCACCTCACTGGACCACAGACCACAACCAGAGTGCCTGAACAAAGCGTGGGCGAGCAACGCATGCAGCTCAGCCCACCTGCTGCGCCGCCGCCACATCGCTGTTGGTGCCCTCCAGCTGCTCGATCCACTCCTGGATGCTGCGCTGCAAGCTGCTGTAGTTGACTGGCACCGGCGGCGCCTCGGGGATGCGCTTGGCCTCCTCAATCGCAGCGCCAACCATCCCGCGCACATCGCTGCCTCGCGGCGCCTCGGGCTGCAGGCGCAGGTGACAGGTGACGCCATAGGTATGGGGGAGATATAGAGTTGAGCAAGCAGGGCAGCCAAATGCGGGCAAGGTTGGCGCATTCCACCAAGGATGGAGGACGGGGCCTGCCGCAGCAACCCACCAGGCTCCACAGTGCCCCTGTATCCAGGCCTTGGGTCCCCAGCTCTGCGAGCAGCGTGGTCACGGCAGCATCCAGGCCAGCCTGCGCCTCCTCCAGCGGCGGCTGCACAGCAACAGCAACAACAGAGGGAGCAGGTGAGCCTCATCTCGGTGCAGCAGCAACAGCCACCTCCTTGCCCGGCAACGTGTGGCAGGCACTTGGGATGCAGGTGCCAATGGCCTGCCCACCTGGTTGGCCTCAATGTGCTGCTCCAGGTCACGCAGGTCTTGGAGGGTGGCCCTGGTGGGGGCTGCCTTGTCGCCCACCCCCTGCAACCGCTCCTCCACAAGAGGGTATTGCTGGCTGCAGGCCAGGGCAAGAAGCAAGAGCAAGAAACACTCAGCAGCTTGGTTTGAGGGTGCCATCTTGACGCCCAACAAGCTATCCACACGCTACTGTTGTACAGACTGCTGCCGCTTGCACCCATTCCTACCTGAGCCAAGCCAGGCGGTGCCAGGCCTCATCAAAGATGTCCTCCGCAGCAGTGGCCTTCTGAGCATCGTTCTCCTCGCGCTGCTGCTTGGTCTCCTGCACTCAGAGCCAGGCCATGGTGTGCTGAGCTGATGCAGACAGCAAACAGTCCCACACAGCCGTAGGGGTACAGTGTGCGAGGTGGCTGGGCAGCAGCGCTGCACCGAGCCCACCTGCTGCGCTGCCGCCACCTCGCTCTGGGTGGCCTCCAGCTGCTCAATCCACTCCCGGATGCCAGCCAGCACGCTGCTGTAGTCAATCGGCACCGGCGGGACGTCGGGGATGCGCCTGGCCTCCTCGATCGCCTGATGCACAATGCCACGCATGTCGGTGCTGCTGGGCGTGGGCGGCTGCAAGCAAAGCCACAAGGCCAGAGCGCGCACGGGCACACAGCAGGCGTCAGCGCTGATAGTGAGGCAAGCAGGCAGGCAGGCAGGCATTGGGCCAATGGGGGCAGCAGCGGCAGCGGGGACGACAGCAAAGCAGCCAGGGGTGCAGGTCGCAGGCGCACGGCGGCGGCGGCGCCCCACCAGGCTGGCGGTGTCCAGGCCGTATCCTGCCAGCCCCGAGAACAGGGTGCTGATGGCCACGTCTCGCTCCGCCTCGGCCTCGGCCAGCGGCGGCTGCAGGCGGGCGGGGTGGGGCAGGGCAGGCCGTTGCACAAACGACACAGGGGGCACATGCGACGCAGGATCGGGCAGGAAGGGAGTGCTTCCCGCTGCAGGTGGGCGCCCGGGGCGATCCCAGCTTGTTGGCTCGCTTCATGGCAGGCGAGAGGGGCTCTCTGCAGCACCTGCCACCACCACCTCACTCCCCTGCAGCCAGCCAGCGCTGCCACCCACCTTTGCCGCCTCAATGTGCTCCCTGAGCTCCCTGAACGCCTTGGCGGCGGCGTTGGTGGGCGCGATGCGGTTGATCAGCTCGTGCAGCCTCCCCTCAGCCAGAGGGTACTGCTCACTGCAGGCGGCAGGCGGCAAACACAACAGAGCGCGCACGGCTCAGCCCATGCGCTAGCCAGGCACGCAACTGCCACGAAGCAAGGCCCAGCTGCGGTCCCCGGCCTGCAATGCAGCTGCTGGCTGCCTTGCAGCGTGCGACTCGAGCCAGCGGGACGCCTCCGCACCTGAGCCATGCCAGGCGGTGCCAGCCCGCGTCAAACACATCCTCCATCGCCCCGCCCTTCTGCGCCTCGATGTCGTTGTGCTGCTGCCGCACATCCTGCAGGCAGGCGGCGGCGGCGCAGCAGCAGGGGCACACGGAAGCCGGCCTGGTCAGGTCGCATCTGCCGTCGCCCAGTCACCCATCGCCGGCCCTTGCCCTGCCCGCGCTCCCCAGCCGGCGACTCGGCCACCATCAGCCCCGCCTGCCTGCCAGGCCAGGCCACCCGCCCGCCAGCCGCGCACCTGCACCGCGGCGTCCACATCCCTGTTGGCTGCCTCGCAGTCGTCGATCCAGCGCTGCAGGCCCGCCAGCAGGTCGTCGTAGTTGACGGGCAGCGGCGGCGGCTCGGGGATGCGCTTGGCCTCCTCGATGAGCTGGCGCACCATGTCGCGCAGGTCGCCGCCACGCGTCGCCGCGGGCTGCACTTACAAGGGAGGGGCGGCCGGAGGGGGTGACAGTTGGGCGCGGGCGCGGGCGGGGCTGAACATCCCACGACGTGGCGCAGCGTGCGCAGCATGGCCCTGCCGCCACCACCACCACCACCACACACACACGCACCTTGTCCAGCGACTTGTTGCGCCCCAGCGACATGAGCGAGCGCAGGCGCCCTGGCTGCTTCCTCCCCTCCTCCTTCTCCTTGTCGCCGTACGCGGTGAAGGGGTGGTTGGCGTCCAGGCCCTGCCGGTTGAGGTCGTCAAACAGCTTGGCAATCACGGCGTCGCGCACCGACTCGGCGTCGGCCAGCGGCGGCTGCGCAGCGGGAGCGGGAGGGGAGCGGGAGCGGGAGGGGAGGTCAGGGGACAGGCGCGGGAGGAGCTTTGAGGAGGAGCTCTGTCGGCTGCCTCAGGCAGGAGACCCAACCGCAGCGGCCGGGCTGGCCGTCCGGCCGCCCCGGCGCAGCGTCCCCACACGCCGCACAACCACCAAACCGTTCTGTGAACGCCACGCAAGCCACCGCTGCCCACCACTGCGCCACCTAGATATGGAGTGTGTGTGTGTGTGTGTGTGTGTACAACCTCACACGCACACTTTCACACACACACACGTTCTCCCCTCCCCCACCCGCCCACCTGGTCATTGCGGATATACTCGCACAGGTCCTTGAGCGCCTTGACGCCGTCGTTGACGGGCGCCACGCGGCCGCCCACCTCCCGCAGCCGCTCCTCCACCAGAGGGTACTGCTCGCTGCGGGCGGGCGGGCGGCGGTACAAGGGCCGGCGGATCAGCCCGGAGCAAGGATGCGGCGGGCCGCGCAGGCAGGAAGGCAGGAAGGCCGGCCCTGCTCCTCCCAACCAGCAGGGACAGCAGGCCGTGATCCTTCCAGCCAGCAGGGACAGCAAGCAATATTGCAACAACCGCAGCAAGAGCGCAGCCCACCTGAGCCACATGATGCGGTGCCACCCCTCGGCATCCTCGGGGTCTGCCGCCGCCATCTGGCGGCTGATCTGCTCCACGTTGCCGCGCGCCTCCTGCAGGCGCAGCAAAAGGCGGGCGGGGGGGGGGGCAGCCAGGCTAGGTCAGTGAGGCTGAGGCCGGGGGAGGAGGAGGGGTGCGGAAGGAGCACGCACGGCGGCCAGGTGGAGCGGCCCCCGGGCCCCTGGCAACAGCGCCGCAATGCAGCCAGGGCAGGCAGGGTCGAGCAGCGCCACGCGCCGCGCCCGCACACATCACCGCCGCCGCCCCCAGCCCGCCGCCCCACCTCGAGCGCTTGGTTCACGTCGCCGGTGGCGCCCTCCAGGTCGCGGATCCACTGCTGGATGTCTCGCAGCAGGTCGTCGTAATTGATGGTCACCATGGACTCTGACAGCGCAGCATCCAGCTCAGCCTGCGGGCAGGGGAGGGGAGGGGAGGGAGGGGAGCAGGGGGAGGGAGGGAGTCAGGCACGGGCGCCGGCACGAGGGCAGGAGGAGGGGCAGCGCTGCGGCTGGCCCCGCTGGCTGGCTGGCCGCCGCCGCTGGCGCCGCGCGGCCGGCCGGCCGGCCAGCCAGCCAGCGCCTGCCAGCCCGGCCTGCCCAGGGGCCGCAGGCGCTGCGGCTGGCTGGCTGGCTGGCACGGCAGCGGCGGCGGCGGGGGTGTGGACCTGGTACTGCGCGTCCAGGCTGTCGTGAGTCCATGCCAGCTCAGCCTGCTGCTGGGCCAAAAACTGCGACTCTGCCAGGGCCGCCGCCACTGCCAGGTCCTCGCTGCGCGTGCTGTGGGCTGAGGGGTCGGGCCGCAGCGAGCCGCCGCCCCGCGTCGAGCCGCTGGGGCGCAGCGACAGCGACATGCGGCCCAGGAAGCTCGACCGCTGCAGCTGCCCCTGACGCTGTACGGGCATGGAGTGCGCCTCTGGCAGCCCCCGCGGCGGCGGCTGCGTCGGCACCGACTGCTGCGCCGGCAGCGCGTGCGGCTGCTGCTGCACGGGCATGGAGTAGGCCGGCTGGCGCAGCGGCGAGGCCGCGCGCTGCGGCTGCGGCTGCGGCGCGTGCTGCGGCTGCGGGTGCAGCGCTGCCGGGGGCTGCTGGTCTTGCATGGCCAGCTGGTAGGCCAGCGCCAGGTCAGCATGCAGCTGCTCCTGCTCCCGTGCCGCCGCCCACGGCGGGTGCGGGTGCGCGGGCCCCGCCGCGCCTGCTGCGCCTCCTCCTCTATCCCCCTCCTCCCCCTCGCTGCCGCCCTCCTCCTCCTGGCTGCCAAACTCCCAGCTGCCATCACTCGAGCACCCATCTACCTGGTCAGGCTGCGACAGGTCAATGAACTCTCGTGGGCGCCGCGCCGACCGCCGCCCGCTGCTCAGCCCGCTCTGCGTCCGGCTCAGCCCGCTCTGCGTCCGCGGCAGCCCGCTTTGCGTGCGGCTGACGGTGCGCCCGCTGCTGCGCCCCGTGCTGGCGCCGCCGCCGCTGTAGGCCGCCTGCACGTAGCCGGAGCTGCTGTAGCCGGGCGTGAGGGGGCGGCCGTACTGGTCGGTGCCGGGCGAGACGCTACTGGGGGCCATCTGCTGCAGCGGCAGCGGCGGCACGGCGCTGCCGCCGGCGCCGCGCGCGCCATCTGGCTCCGGCGTTGCCTCCTCCTCCTTGGGAGCCTTGCGCTTGCCGAAGATCTTCTTCATTGGGGCTGCCGAGGCCTGCAGGGCTGCGGAAAAGCGCGCTTCGATACCAGACCACGCGGTTTGCCTTGGCAAGCCTCCTGGTCGCCCCGGCCGGCCGCCTGTCGCCCGCTACCAGCTCCATCAGACTGCAGCACGCACCTGGGACCCTCAGTACCCTCGCCGCAGAGCTGCCGGTGATCAGGTTCGGGTGAACAACTGCACCTGCTCAGGCTGCCATGACACTGGCCGCCTGCGCTGTCCAGAGGATGAACAAAGGCGATGGGAGAATGGCCAGGGATTCTCTCAACTGCCAGCTCCTCTTCATGGCAAGGCGCGGGAAGAAGGCAGGGACCCCGAGTGCAAGGCGCAAGAGGAGCACCCCGCTGCGGCGAGCCCTCACACCACCATCGTGCGTCCATCCCGCTGCCATGCTCGCCTTATCGTTTTTGTGACCCGGCCGGCCCGTTTGGCTCCCCTGCAGCATCACGTTTCTCCGACAGATGAACGCGGCGGTCCCCTTTCAGGCCCAGCCTGCGGCCAGCACCAGCGGTAGGCAGCGCAGGCAGCGGCATGGCTGCCGCATTTTGAAGCCGTTTGCATGGGAGCCGCCAGCGGTGGAGGAGTCATGGCGACCTGCAGGGGCCGGCCCAGGGCCTGCGCCGCCGCTCACAGGCCCTTGCACCCCCCCTGGTCCGGATGCAGGCTGCGCAGCACGGCTAGGCACGGGTGGGAGTAGGATGTGCCGGGCGGCGGCGGCCCAGGTGCGGGCACGTGGCTGGCAGCCGCGTGGCAGGGCCCTGCCTGTCCTGTGCCGGGACCCAGCGCCCTGCAGGGCATGGCCTGGACCCAGGCACGCAGGACGCGTCCCCTGACACCCAGCCTTTTTCCTCCCTGCCTTGCAGCTGCGGGCGCGGGCACAGTCGGGCAACGGCGTGGCGGCGGAGGAGGCGCCCAGCAGCAGCAGCAGCAGCCGGGTGCACGCGCGGCCGGTGCTGGCCCCGCCCAACTGGGAGTCTGCGGTGCGGTCGGCGCCGCAGCTCTTCCCGCGCGGCCAGCACGCGGCGGCGGTGCCCAACCGCCTCCGCATCTTCTCGGGCACCTCCAACCCCGCCCTCTCCCAGGAGGTTGCCTGCTACCTGGGCCTAGACCTAGGCAAGATGAAGATCAAGCGCTTTGCAGACGGCGAGATCTATGTGCAGGTGCGGGGTGGGGAGGGCGGCGGGGAGCAGGGCCGGGGTGGGGTGGGGTTGCAGCCGCGCCCTGGGGGCGGCTTGACCTGGGCTGGGCGCACGGGCAGATGCCAGGCCGCGCGTGGTCGCGGCACAGGCATGCAGCCGGCCGGCCGGGTCGCCGGCTCGGGCCCGGCCTCCCCCTCCCCACACCAGCCTCCCTCTCCCACACCAGCCTCCCCTGCCTTCTTGGAACCCCACCCCCCTCCCTCCCCGCCGCCAGGTGGGCGAGTCCATCCGCGGCTGCGACGTCTTCCTCATCCAGCCCACCACGCCCCCCGTCAACGACAACATGATGGAGCTGCTGATCATGATCGACGCCTGCAAGCGCGCCTCTGCCCGCTCCATCACCGCAGTGCTGCCCTACTTTGGCTACGCGCGCGCAGACAGGAAGACGCAGGTGAGGGCTGCCGCCGCGGAGAGGGCGGGCGGCGGGCATGCAGCCGCGGGCTAGCAGTTGCGGGCAGGCAAGCAGCTGGCGGGTGGGCTGGCTGGTGGGCAGGCCGGCGCCGTGATGGGGGCATGCCAAGGGCGGCCGGGTGTGTGTCGAGGGCGGCCAGGGCCTTCCCGCGCCGGGGCCCACCCAAACCCCGCCGCCGCCGCCCTCACCGCCCCCACCCACCACCACCCCAGGGCCGCGAGGCGATTGCGGCCAAGCTGAGCGCCAACATCATCACGGAGGCGGGTGCGGACCGGGTGCTGGCCATGGACCTGCACAGCGGGCAGTGCGTGGGCTACTTCGACATCCCCGTGGACCACGTGTACGGCGACAGCGGTGGGTGGGTGGGTGGGGGGGGCGTGCACGGGTGGCGTGCGTGTGTGTGCGCGGTGGTGTGAGCGTGCCATATTGTTTCTTGGCCTTGCTCCAACCCCGGCCCCGCTCCTCCTGCCCGCCCCACCTCACACACCCCCTGCCCGCCCGCCCCGCCCCGCCCCACCTCACACCCCGCCCCCTCCCGCCAGTCATCCTGGACTACCTCTCCTCCAAGCGCATCTCCTCCGGCGACCTGGTGGTGGTGTCGCCCGACGTGGGCGGCGTGGCGCGCGCCCGCGCCTTTGCCAAGAAGCTCAACGACGCGCCGCTGGCGATCGTGGACAAGCGCCGCTCCGCGCACAACGTGAGCGAGGTGATGAACCTGATTGGCGACGTGCGGGGCAAGGTGGCGGTGCTGGTGGACGACATGATCGACACCGCGGGTGAGCTTGGGTTGTGGGTGGGGGGTGGGGTGGGGTGGTGGTGGTGGTGCGCGGTTTGCCTGCGGTGTGGGGGGGGGGTTGTGGGGTGCCCTGGGTGTGGGGAGGGGTCCGGGCGGGAGGGGCTGGGTCAGCAGCGGCAGATGGAGCAGCAGGAGGAGGAGCAGCAGCAGCAGCAGCAGGAGGCTCGGCGGTTGCCTGTGGGCGGCGCGCGTCGCGCCCGGCCCGCCGAACGGCGTCCCACCCCGCCGCCCGCGCGCCCACCCTTCACTCCCCTCTGCCGCCTCCCCGCAGGCACCATCACCAACGCGGCCAAGGTGCTGCACGTGGAGGGGGCGCGGGAGGTGTACGCCTGCGCCACCCACGCCGTCTTCTCGCCGCCCGCCGTCGAGCGGCTGTCGTCGGGCGTGTTCCAGGAGGTCATCGTGGCCAACACCATCCCGCTCCTGCCGGAGAACCAGTTCCCCGAGCTGACGGTGCTGTCGGGTGCGGCGGCGGCTCGCGGGGAGGGCGGCTGGCTGGCTGGGGATGGGCGGCTGGCTGGCTGGCTGGCTGGGGGCGGCTGGCGCACGCTGGGGAGGCCGTTGGCGCTGGCTGGTGCTGGCTGGGGAGGCTGGCTGGCGGGCCGATGTGGCCATGTGGCCGTCTTGAGAGGGGAGGGGAGGAGGTGCGGGGGGCCTTGCAGGCGGCGGCGGCGACTGACCTGGCGCACACCGGCCCCCGCCCTGCGTGCCTGCCTGCAGTTGCCAACCTGCTGGGCGAGGCCATCTGGCGGGTGTACAACGCCACCAGCGTGGCCGCCATCCGGGAGTGAGGCGGCGGCGGCGGCGGCTGTGCACGGCGCCCCGCCCACGGCCCGTGCTGCCCGCCCGCCCCCGCCGCCCAGGCTGGCACGGCACCATGCCTGCCAGCAGGTGCGCGGGGGCTGGGCCTCGCCGGCCGCAGGCCTTCAACGCAGCCCGACACATGGCCTCCATGGGCTGGCTGGCTGGCGCGGCCTTGCGGTGGCAAGTGCGGCCGGCGCGGCTGCCCTGGCTGCCCGCAGCGCGGCAGCAGCTTCTCCCCATGCCGGCAGCCGTGTCCTTGCGGCGCTTGAGCGTTTCAGCGTGTGGCATTGAGCGTTCAGGCGGCCCTGCCGCCACCCACTCCCTTCATTGATAGCCGTGCACCGATGACCAGTGCGCGTGACAGTGCCCCCACACTACACCACGCCCCATCCACCATTCTCCACAGCGGCACCAGCCCGCTCTGGCTGCCGCAATGTATCACGACATAACTGAGCTACTGATGTGCTTGCTGTGTTTGTCCATCGCCCTGACCTCTCTTTTTGCCCTTCCCTCGCGCAACGACTGCGAATTTTCTGCTCTCCTCCCTCCTCTCCTCCCATGTTGCCGCTCCGCCTCGCTCCAGCGGGGCCCACCATGCCATTCAACACTTGCGCCGCAACCTCCACGCCGGCCTGGCCTCCCATGTAACCAGCCAGCAGCCGCGTTCAAGCCACAGCCCGGCATCGTGAGGACCAGCAGCAGCAGCGGCGGCGGAGCAGCAATCGCTGTGCTGGATGGCGGCGGTTACATCCCTGTCATTCCCAAGCGCAGGTTCCCACGCCCATGCGTACATGTACGCTCACATGCCCAATGGAGGCGTAGTCCCCGCGCATGCTGCCCCACTGGCGCAGCCGCCCTCACATCCGCCAGTCCCAGGCGATGTCGATGACCGACTTATCGGGCGACAGCGCGTTGATGTCGGCCACCCGCACCGCCTGGCCGTGCAGCAGGCCCGACAGCTTCTGCGCGTGGGCGAGCATGCGGTCCATGCAGCTGCGGTACCGGCTGTCCGCCACCGCGGGGTCCCGCAGCAGCCGCCTGGGGCAAAGGGCAAGGGAGGCGGGGGCAGGGGCCAAGGTGGGCGGGCGGGGAGGTCAGCTGGGGGGCACTGTCGGCTGTGCAGGAGAATGGGCGCGAGGCGCGGCGCTTGGTGCGCAGCGATGGGTGCGCTGCTGGCGGCGGCCTGCTGCCTGCGCGCTCGGCCGCCCCTGGCTTTGCTCCACACACACACATACACAGAGCACAAAGCACACACATACACACACACACACACACACCATGGCGCACCCCCACCTCAGCATGACCTTGCGCTCCACCTGCTTCCGTAGTGCCTCCAGCTCCTGCTGCCGCCGCCGCGCCGCCGCCGCGGCCGACAGCACCTGCCCCCCCAGCTGCTGCACCGCCGAATACAGCTGGTCCCCGGTCACACCCAGCGGCGCCACCAGCAGCCCCGCAGCGCCGTCTGCCGCACAGCCGCCCAGCTCGCCGCCTCCGCCGCCGCTCGCAGCCTGGCCTCCTCCGCTGCTGCCGCCGCCGCTGCTGGAACCTGCCGCCGCGGCGCCGCCCTCTCCGGCTGCCGACACCGCATGAGGGGCGAGCATGAGGGGCAGCTCCCGGAAGCGGCCGCCGCCTGCTGGGCCGCGTGCTGCCGCTGCAGCTGCCAGCCGCTCCAGAGCATGCCTGTACTCAGGCGCTAGGCGGGCCTCTGCCAGCTGCGGGTACACCATGGCTAGGCCCAGCGCGGCCGCCACCGCCGCCTCCTGCGCTTTCACCTGAGCCAGCAGCTGCTGCCGCCGCCGGCAGTGCCCCGCATCCACGCCGCCCAGGTGCCTGCATGCAGTGTGCATGGGTGTGCGGCGCCCTGAGGAGTGCTTGTTTTGGAGGTGAGGTGGGGTGGGCCCGCACACAGCAGCCAGCAGGGGGTGACATGGCGGGGTGGCGGGCTGGCAGAGAAGCCAGCATGCCTGTGGCGGCGCCAACAGCCAGCCAGCGGCGCTGCGGGGGCCTCACCTGGCCCACGCCGCCTGGCTGTCGCCCGCCGCCAGCCAGACCGTGCCCAGCGCATCCACCCCGCTGGCCTGCCCCACCATCAGCCTGAGCCCAGAGAGGTCCAGGGAGGGCGGCAGGCTGTCCAGGGCGCCCACCAAGCGCTGCAGCAGCGGCAGCTGCGCCAGCACGCCCGCAGACGCGGCGGGGCCTCCAAACCCGGCCGTGACGCCGCGCCCCAGCCGCAGCGCGGTGCGAAGAGCGGCCAGCTGGTGCTGCGCGCTGCTCTGCAGGGGCAGGCGCAAGGCAGGTGGGCAGAATCAGCTGAGGATTGGGGGACATCGCAACAGAGAAGGGCGTAGTCCTTGACTGCCTGCTCTAAGACTCAACCAACAAGCCCAACCGCCACCAGTGCCGCCACCGCTGCCCACCTGCGCCGCCGCGTTCTGGTGCACCGCCTCCACAGCCCGCGGCAGGAAGTCGCGCAGGCTGACAAAGCGGCTGTGCTCCCGCCCCGCATCCTCCTCCTCGCCACCCGCGCCGCCAAAGCGGCTGGGCAGGCCCAGCGCGGCCAGCAGGCTGCCAAAGGCCTTGCGTGTGGAGCCGCTCATGGCCTCCCCCGGGGCGCCCCGCGTGGGCGGCGGCAGCGTCAGCACCACCTCCCGCAGCCCTGCTGGCGCCGAGCCGGGTGCGGTCCCTGGCGCTGCAGCCTCTGCTGCGACGGCGGCAGCTGGGGCCGCCAGCTGGTATTGCCCAGCCGCAGCCGCAGCCGCGCCGGTGCTGCCGCGCACGTAGAAATGGAAGCGGTACGGCAGCGGTACCTTGGACCCGGTGCGTGCGGCGTCCAGGTACTCGTGCAGCATCTTGAAGCTCTTGGTGTTGGCCTCCTGCCGGGTGATGAGGCAAGGTGCGGGTGGTCCTCAGGTGCAGACAGATGAAGGCAGTCGCACACACACACCAAATCGGTTGCTGCTGTGCAGGCTGGGGGCCTGCCTGTGGGCCCTGCTATACATGCGCTCACCTTGGCTGCCTGATGGTCGTGGAATAGGTCGGGGTGCACCTGCCTGTAGACAGCCCGCAGGGCCGCCTTGAGGCTGGGCAGCTCGGCCGCCGCAGCACCAGAACTCCAGCGGCACCTGCCAATAGCCAGCTGCAGCACCCAGCGGCAGGGTGGCGGGGTGCAGGGACAGTAGTCAGGCTGTGGGGGCAAAAAAAGCCAGGGCTGTGGCAGTGCCTATACCTGAGCCGGCGCCATCAGGCGGCGGCACCGCGCCGCCGCACTCATGCTGCCCCTGCTCCCTCGATGACGATGTTCGCGACCCTGCCTCTGACGACCCTGCTGAATACAATCGCGATGAGGGAGAGCGACTGCGCTTCGGTGTAGAGTGGAGCGGGTTTTGCCAGTGACCTGTCGGGCTTCCCCAGGATGATGTCCCTGCAGTGGGGCGAACCGCGTTTGATTGCCTGAGCCATTCCGCTGCTCCTTTTGGGTCCTGTTGTACACAAGCCGTACCATGTTTTCGTTGCGATGCATGCGGCCAGCGAGCGGGCACTACTGCAGTCCAATTGCAGTCTGCGATCAACCGTGGTATTGCACAGGCGTGCAGCGGGTGCTATGGCTTCCGAATTAGATGGGGCGGTTTTGAGCCGAATTTTCAGCCTGCTGCCCGGGCAGCTAGTAGCTGTGTGCGCGCAGGTAGGTCTTCTGTGTGCCCGCCAGCTGAGATGTGCATGCAGCTGGGTTGGCCGCCGCCGCCGCCCGGTCGCCTGCTGGCCACCGAGAGTCGCCGTCGGCTGCAGGTGTCCAGGGCATGGCGAAGCGTGGCATCCTCAGAGGCTCTGTGGCAGCAGCAGTGCCGCCAGCTGGAGCCGCACCACCACCTGGCTCGCGACGACTTGCTGCCGGGTGAGCGGCGGCTGCCACACCCTCGGCGATGAATCGAAGCATGGAGTTGCTGTGCACCTGTGGCCTAGGCAATGTAACCCCATCAGCTTGACTCGCCACATCCCACGCTGCTGCTGCCCGCAGAGTTTGGGGGGGCAGCCCCGCGGGGTTATACGTGGCGCGCTGCGCTGCTGCACAGTCCCGTGTGCCGGATCGTGGTGTGGAGAGAGCGCACACGCCGCGGCAGTGTGCCACCTACCGCGCGCCCCCCGCCCGGCGGCGCGGCGCAGCAGCCGGGGCGGCGCGTGTGCGTGGTGGAGGCGGCGCAGGGGGCCTGGGTGCAGCAGGCCACGCTGTCGCCGGTGGGCGGCCTGGTGGCGTTCACAGAGATGGGCGACTTCGGCGGCGGCCACCTGGAGGCGCGCGTGGTGGTGGCCGACGCGCGCAGCGGCGGCCGGGTGACCAGCCTGGTCCTGGAATCGCCCTTCCCGCCCTTCTACTATTACTGGCTGCCCTGCGGCACCCGCCTGCTCTTCCTGAGGTGAGGCCTGGGCGCGCGTGGGTGCCTGGCAGGTTGCCACGCCGGCATGCACACCGGGCGGCGCTGCCGGATGCTTCCACCCAAGCCCTCACCCATCGCGCGGCCTTGAACCGCCGCCCCACCGCCTGGCCCTGCCCCTGTCCCTTGCAGCAACTGGGAGACGGACGTGGTGGCGCTGCGGGCGCTGGACCTGGCGCCCGCGCTGCTGCCGCCCGCCGCGCCCGGCACGCCGCCGCGGCAGCTGGAGCGGGAGGTGCTGCTGTGCGCCTCCCGCCCGCTCTTCCTGTCCGCCAGCCCCACCTGCACACGCCTGGTGTGGCACGGCGGCCAGCGCGAGGTGGGGCTGTGCGACGCCGCCACCCTGACGGCGGAGGATGGCAGCCAGGACGACTGCTTCTTTGCCAACCCGCTGCCCTGCGGCAGCCAGGTGGGCGCCGCGCCCTGCTGGCTGACCTTGACAGTGGCCTGGCGCTCAATCCCGGGGCGCTGCCTGCATTGTGAGGCAGCTGGGGAGGCTCTCCGCTCATGTGTGTCACATGGGTGAGCTGCTTGGTGGCTGGAGCGCCTTGCCCGGCCCGCCACATCCACCCAGCCTGGCTGCTCTCATCCCGACCCGACCCAACTCTGCTGTGCAGGCTCCCCAGTGGGTGGTGGACGCCGCCGGCGCCGACTGGCTGCTGCTGCCCATCATGCACCCGCAGCCCGCAGACGTGGAGGCCGGGGTGCTGGTGCTGGCACCGCTGGCTGGCGTGGCGCACGCGCTGGAGGCGGAGGGCAGCCGCCTGTCGCCCTCCCTGCTCCTCAACCTCAGCCACCAGGCGAGCGGGCGAGCCATCTGAAAGATGCATCTCCACCGTTTGATGCATCGCCCCGCCCCACGCCGGCTGTCCTGCCTCCGTGCCTGCACAGGGGAGGGCTGGGAGCGCAGGCAAGGCATCGTTGGGTTTGTGTGCTTCAGGCTGAGGCGTGGGTGGTCCCTCTGTTGTGCCACAGGTGGCCCCCTTCTTCAGCTCACGTGACCTCTTCTACGCCGCCTCCCCAGCCGCCGCCGTGGTGGCGTGGTGCGACCGCGGAGAGCTGCGCGCCTGGTTCCGAGGCAGCGGCGCCATCCACCAAATCTTTCCCATGCCGGACGCGTCGCGGCAGCAGGAGCCGGCGGCGGGGCGGCGGCGCGGCGGGCCTGGCGACGCGCCGCTCTGGCGCGGCGGCTCAGTACTGGCCATGCAGTGGAGCCCCGACGGCCGCCGCCTGCTCCTGCTGGTCCGCAGACGCGGCGCGGGACGTGAGTCGCACGCGCGCGCCGCCGCCCAGCGCCCTGCCTGCCCGCCTGCTGCCTGCCGGCGGTCGGTCCACCGCTGGGACTGCTGGTGCCTGGCTGGCTGGCCGGCACGTTTCCTGCCATCCACTAACCCCTGCCTGCCTGCCTGCCTGCCTGCCTGCAGCCCTGGTGTCCCTTTCCAAGAGCCCCCAGTTCCGGTGGGTGGTGTACGACACGCCGCGCGACCCGCCGCCGCCGGCTGGCGCCGCCACGCCCGGCTGGCTGGGCGCGCTGACCCAGTGCCGCCCCTTCAACCCCACGCTCGAGTTCCTGGACCGGTGAGGGCGGCAGCGGGGGTGGGGGCAGGGGAGGTCCAGCACTTGGCTGCATGCCGGCCTCGGTGCCCGCTGCGGTGCAGCCCCTGTGTGGGCGGGCAGAGCTGCTGCCAGGCAGGCCTGCTGCCCTGCCCCCGCGCCACTGCTTGCCGCCTGCGCTGCTGCCACCAGAGCGGCTCTTTCGCCTCGCCCAACCACCTCCTCCTGCCCTCCCCACTGCAGCTACCTGCCCTTCTTCGACCAGTACTCCCGCAGCATGCGGCTGTGGGGCCCAGCCAGCGCTGCCTTCTGCTTCGCCTCACGCGGCAGGCCCTCAGGCGACTCATGCTGCGCTGCTGCCGCATGCTGCGGTGCGCCGCTGGGTGCCTCCACGGCATGCAGGCCGGCAGCTGCCGTCGGTAGCACTCTGCCTGCCGGGCGGCAGGGCACCAGTCATGGTGCAGACGCCCGCCTGGACCTGCCCTCCCCTCTCCATGTCTTGCAGTGCCAGAGGTGTCGGAAGAGGCCAACGTCAGCGTGCAGCACGTGCCGCCCCCAGGCCAGCCCACCAGCGCCGGCCAGCCCGGCGGCAGCGGCGCAGAGGCTGGCGGCGGCCCGCCCGCTGCGCTGGACATGCTGGAGGCGCCTGCGCCGGTGTGGCTGGGGCAGGGCAACATGGCGTCTTGGAGCTGGCAGTGAAGAGATTGCCAGCTGGCAGTGAGAGCTTCCCAGACCAGGCACCGGCCTGCCGTGCCAGGCAGCCGGTGCCGTACACGTGTTGCCTCCCTCCCAGTTGCCACTGCGACGGTGCGTGTTACATGCAGCAGCGACAGGGAGCCACGATGGAAAGGCAGCAGAGCGAGAAAAAAACAGTGCGATGGATGCGAGCTGGGCGGGCACGCGGCGAGCCGCGCCGGCGCGCCTCACTCCTGCATGCCGTCTGCTTGCTCGCCGCCTGCCTGCCCGCCCGCCGCCTGCTGCTGGTCTTTGGGCAGGGCATCCCGCATGGCCGCCACCTCCGCCTCCAGCCCGCGGCACGCCGCCTCGATCTCCGCATTCTTGTGCACCAGCCCCAGATACTCGGCCTCCAGCGCGCCCAGCTCCGCCCCCGCCGCGTGCTGCTGCAGCTTGCGCTCGCGGTTGAGGTCGTCCACGCGGCGCCGCACGTCGGCCAGCTGCGACTGCAGCCGCGCCACAAACGAGGCCAGCTGCTCGTTGTGCATGCGCCAGGCGTCGGGCCCAAACTTGAGCAGCAGCTCCAGGTTGACCAGCCTGCGGCGAGCAGGGGGGCAGGGGAAGGGGCAATGGGGGGGCACAGGCGGAGGCAGCCGTCGTGCCACTGGGCGGCGCGACGGCGCCCCGCGCAAAAGAAGAACCGCCTGCGCAACACACAGGTACACACGGCCGCCACCACCCGCCCACAATCACACATAATCACACACACACAACCCTCACACGCACCTGTTGTACTGGTGCTCCAGCTGGGCGTACGCGTTGTCCAGCGCGGCGCGCCAGCTGGCGTAGTCGTTGCGCTTGGTGGGCGGCGGCGGGTCCAGCCCGTACCTCGCCGTGTCCATCGCCTGCATCCCCTCCCCCGCCGCCACCCGCGCCATCTCCTTCACCAGCAGCCCGTTGTCCTGCGCAGGGCAGGGGGCCGGCCAGCGGCAGCGAGGTGGGCCGGCAGCCAGGCGACAGGCTCGGGCCGGGGAACTGCGCAGCATGCTGCTGGAAACGAGGCGACCAAAGCGCGGGCCCGGCCTCGCCCCACACCTTGAATCGCGACTCGGGCAGCGGCTCTAGGTCGCCCAGGTAGTCGGAGGGCCGCTTGCTGCTGCTGCGCATCTGCAGGCACGGGGCGAGCGGCACAGGGAGGCTGCCCGTCGGCGGGAGGGCGGGCGGCTGCGGAGCCGGCTGCCAGGCCCTGGCTGGGACGTGCGCGCGCCGGCGGCTGCCCGCCAGCGCACCTCATCTTCTATCAGCTGGTCTATAGCCTGCTTCTCTGCCGGGGAGAGCCCATCCACATACGGCAGGGAGTCTACGAGGTGCTGGTTGCGCCGCCAGCCCTTTTGCTCGCCGTGTGCTGCATCTGTGAGAGCTAGGGGTTGCGCCATAGGGGTGGGGAGGGGCGCGGCGCAGATGTGATGGACGAGGGAACCTTGCAGAGGTGCAAGGGCGATTGATGGCGTCTGGCAGTAGTGGTACAGTGGATCGCGCTCTACGCATGGCCCCCCATCGACCAGGACGAAGAGCACGAGGTGGGGTACAGTCCGGCGTACTGACGAATGCAAAATGCGCATTTACCAGGCCACTGACGCTGGTCAATGGCATCTATCTTGCTGTTGGAGACTCCAGGCGACCTCCCGCGATGACTCCCACGCCGTCAAAGCAGGCCACCAACGACAGGGCCGGCTTCCTCAACGCCGCGCGCTCGGCCGCCATCTCTGAGACCATCAGGAAGGAGACCACGTAAGCTGCGGGCCGGTCAAGGGCACATGCCACAAGACATGGCGCCACCGCCGCCTACTCGAGTCGCTGCACCCCTGGGGCCTGGTTGGTGCTGTGCAGGGTGTTCCATCAGATGCTGCAGAAGCAGATCGAGCTGGGGCGCATTGTGCTGCCTCCAGAGGCGGCCGAGGTGGAGAGTCACAGCTTGGCAGCAGCAGCAGGAGACAGCTCAGACGTCGACCCAGCACAGGTGGACAGGCAGGTGGCCTGGCTGCTGGAGGCGCACCGTGGCACCGGGCAGCCCCTGCCATTTGCAGCCACCGGCGGAGCGCCGCAGGCAGCAGGAGAGGCCGAGCAGGTACAGGAAGGCGGCGGCGACGGCGGCGCGCAGGATGGCGGCGAGGAGGCGGAGGAGGAGCGCGAGGCGGCGGCGCTGCGTGCGCAGATGCGGGGCATCAGCCGCAGCCTGTGGAGCGTGGTATCGTCGGGGACGACCTCGGGGGCGGGCAGCTACATCAGCCGGCAGCAGGCAGACTACCAGTACCGGCAGGAGGCGGTGAGCGCCATGGTGTCCAGCGGAGAGCTGACCAGCGAGCACCACCGGCGGCGCGACGCACACTCGGCCTACATGGAGGCATCGGCGCGGGATGCGGTGCTGCGGCGCGGCGCGGCCGCCAAGCCGCAGGGCGGCTGGTGAGAGGCAGCTTGCGCCAGCTGTTTCGGGGAGGCCACCTGTTACCGTGGCGCTTACGTGTAACCAACTGGAGGGATCTCCTTGGAGGAGGGAAAGACGGGGGATACAGCAGGTGGGGTCGGGAGCAAAGCAGAACAGAGTGGGGAGCGAAGCAGGAGAGAGCACAAGAGCAGAGCAGCAGCGACAAAACTGGGTGGGCAGCAAGTAAAAGCTCGGCAGAAGCAAGTACAACCAGGGGCGGCTCGGCTGGCGGCGGCTTGCCAGGCAGCCTAGAAGTTGAGCGTCTTGTTGCGCTCTGTGCTGGACGCGGACAGCAGCGCCCGGAACTCCTGGTACGACAGCTGGCCGTCTCCGTCCGCGTCAAACGTCGCCACCGTGCTGCCCGCAATCTGCTCCAGCTGCGGCGCCGACAGCCCGCGCCGGTTGGTCTGCTGCAGCTGGCGCAGCAGGTCGCTGCGCGTCACAAAGCCGTCGTCGTCGGCGTCGTAGATGCGGAAGGCGACTGGGGGGCAGGGAGGGGCAGGCCGGGGTTCAGGCAAGGCTGTCCTCGCGCATCAGGAACCCGGGTCAGGCCCTCCCTCCCAGCTCCGCGGCGCTTCACGGTCCCTTGCCACCCCATGCCCGCTCATCCGGCCACCCTCTGCACCACCCCTGCCCTGCCGCACTGTCCACCCGCCCTCCAGCCCCCCTCTCACACTGGAACCGCGCCTCCTCGTTTGCCAGCGCGGTCAGGCTGTCCAGCAGGGAGCGCAGGTCCCGGGCGTTCATGTACCCGTCTCCGTCTTGGTCGTACATCTCGAAGATGCGGGGCAGGAAGGGGTTGCCCGCCAGCTCCGGGATCATCTGGAAGTCGGAGCGCGCCAGCTCCTTCTCGCCGCGCCCCAGCCGCTTGAGCCTGGCGGGCGCGGGCGCGGCAGCGGGTGGCGGCAGGTGGGGTGAGGCGGGCGAGAGTGCGGGGTGTGCGGCTGTGTGAACTTGGGTGGGTGAGGGGCAGGCTGCCAGAGGGCAGGGAACAGCCGTCTGCTTCTGCCTGCACGCCGCCTGGCGCCAGCTGCCGCCAGGCGCAGCGGCGCCCACCTGCGCTCCATCCGCTCGAGCTCCGCCTTGCTCAGCCCGGCGCTGCGGTTGTCCAGGCTCTGCAGGTTGCCCATGGCGCCAGGTCGCCGGGCAGGCAGCACGGGGCGTGGAGACGAGTAACTGCCTGCGAGGTGGGGAGAGCTGTGCAGCCCTGCGGGGTCTCAGACCGTCGGGTGATGGATAGCATGAGAGTTTGGGACCGAATGCAGGCTCTGGGGTGCCCCGCTCTTTTGTGCGTTTGCATTGCAAACTTGGCACCGCACACAGCACGAGACAGCAAACCATAGGCATCGCTAGTCTGCATCCCACATTCTGGCAGCACCGCGAGCAACACGCTGATGGCAGTCTAGCGCACAGGCACAGGCAGTGAGGCATTCCGACCCAACGCTCCCTGGCTGATTTACAGGGCTTGCAGCGTGACCCGATTGACGGCATTGGGCAGCCCAGAACCGTGCAGCGCACCGGCAGACAGTAGTTCACTGCCGCCGCCACCGCCGCCGCCCTCCCAGCACCGCGGAGCAACAGGGGCAGAATGGCCGGCCTCCTGGCCCGCGCCTTCCGGGTCTATGCCGACCAGCTGGCGCAGCACCCATGGGGGACGCAGATCGTGTCCACCGGCATGCTGTGGTGCGCCTGGTTGTTGCATCGAGCGGCTGCGTCCTGCCCTGCCGCTTGCTGCCGGCCTACCCGCCACCGCGCACTCCACATCTGGCTACCGCCGCGGCACCTGCAGGGCGGCGGGGGATGCGCTGGCGCAGCGGGTAGAAGACCAGCCGTTTGACCTGCGGCGCAACCTGCTCACGGCTGCATATGGCAGCGCCTTCATCGGGCCCGTGGGCCACGCCTGGTAGGAAGAGGAAACGCCACTTCAGTTGATTAATGAACGCAAATGGCTGCCTGTTGGTATGAATCAGGGCCTCGCCATATTTCATAAGGTTTCTTGAAACCCCGTTCAGGTACCTGGGCCTGGACAGGGCAGCCCGGGCGCTGCTCACGCCTGGCAGCCTGGCATTTGTGGGTGGCAAGGTGGGCACAGCAGGAGGCCTCGGCTGCTCTGCGCCCCGCAGCCACCAGCACCGACGAAGGGGACATGGTCATCAGCCTGCTGCTCTTCCCCACCTCACCCTCGGCCCCTGCCCTGCCGCCTGTGCGCAGGTGGTTGCCGACACCGCTATCTTTGGGCCGCTGCACGTGGCGGGCTACTTCACGCACATGACAGTGTGCGAGGGGGGCACCATGGCGGATGTGAGGGCCAAGCTGCGCCGCGACTTCTGGCCCACCTTCAGCGCCGAGCTGGCCGTGTGGCCAGCGGTACAGGCAGCCAACTTCAAGCTCGTGCCTGTGCAGTACCAGCTGCTGGTGGTCAACACCTTCACCATCCTAGGTGAGCGCTGCGGGGTGCTGGAATGCAATCATGAGTGGGAGTGGCCGCCCATCCAGCAAGCCCCTCCCTCCTGGTTGCAGACAGCTGCTTCATGAGCTGGGCAAGAGCCAACGATGGCTGGTTCCAGCGGCTGTTCCCCAGCGTGGCTGCCCAGCTGGGCATGCAGCCGCTGCCGGCGGTCAGAGGCAGCAGCGTCGAGGCCAAGAAGGAGAGCTGACAGGGTTCTTCCGCTGCCACCCGCCGCACCCTGCCGTTCCGCTGCCGCCACCTTGGCAACCTCTTGGTCTCCCTCTCCACGCCTTCGCAACTCCATCCGCACTTGATTCTTTGCTGATCAACTCCTGTAAGAAGCAAGACACACGCCCCTTGCGCGAAGCCGATCAAACGAGATGGGTGAGCCGGTCAACGGAGCTGCTCGCAAGCTCTGTTCGCAGCACCGCGGCTGCATGAGCGCTGGATGCACTCGTCAGAGCCATCGGATGTCCCCGTGACAGAGCAGCTCGATGCAGGCCGGCGCCGCCGCCAGTGCAGCGGTGCCCTTGCGGCGGGTTATGGGCGAGGGCCACGCCAGCTGCTGCCGAAAATGAGGAGTTGCTCGATGTATAACATGCAATGCAGCAAGCCCTGAAGGCAACCAGATCTTCGTTGTGGTCAGGAAGGGAAAGCAGTACCCCCCAGCTTGCTGTGACGTGCGGTGAGCGCAACCTCTTGTGCAATGGTGGCCAGCCCAATCGCACCTGCCCCTCCTCACCTCCAACACTAACATGCGGGAGCCTGCCATTGTTACCGCAGGATCAAGTATGAGCAGACGATGCTGGATTTAAAACAGGCAGCGGCAAGGTGGGCACCAACCGCATCCTCACCGCCCGCTCCCAGGTCCAGCACGGTTTCCAAGCACCACATCCGCCGCTCCTCGCCTGCCATCCCCCTCTGCTGCCTCCCTCCCCACACTGCCGCAGCAAGCTCAAGGTGCCGCTGGACAAGCTGCTGCTGTTCTGGCAGGGCAAGGAGCTGACGGCAGCATATGATGGGCGCACCCTGCTGGACATGAACCTCCACACCGGCTTCTCCCTCCAGGGCTATGACCTCACAGAGGAGCCAGACTTCTGGCCTGCGGTGATAGATACGCCAGAGGGGCGCCGCATCAGCACCTGGCCGCAGTGACAGCACCTCGCGCAGGTGGGGTTGGCGAGGAGGCGGCACTTGGTGTGGGCTGCGGGCAGCTGAAAATGTCCAAAATTGTTGTGACGATGTTGTCTTGCAAGTGGATGTTGCAAAATCATGAAAATGGGCCCAGGCTTGGCCCAGCAAGTGAATACAGTAGAAGCAGCGGCGGGGAGAGACAGCGGCAGCAAACCCAGGAAGGGGGCAAGGAAACAGGGATACGTCGCAGGGGGGCAGAGGAGCATGCCGCATGCGGGAAAAATGGAGGAGTGGCGCGCCCAGTGCGTTGCACGGGCCACAGCCGTCGTGGTGATTCATTGGGAGCGCTGTGCAGCTGCTCCAATGGGCCCGGCAGAGCAGCTGCCTTCACTCCAGCCCCGCCACGGTTGTGTAGACTGCATCCACATCATCCACAGCCAGCAGCCGCTCCAGCAGCGCCTCGTTGCCCTCAAACTGCTCGTCGTCCACCTCCTGCTGCACCAGCGGCACATACACCAGCCCGGAGGCCTCGGGCTGCAGCTTCAGCCCCTGCTCCGCCAGGCTGCTGCTCACCGCGCCATAGTCCTCCACCGCCGTCAGCACCTGCAGCAGGGGTGAACACAGGGAGGGGCAAGGGATGAGAAGCAATGCGGGGGAGGCATGCTCGGCGCTGCAACCTTGCAGCTCCCCTCTGACCGGCCCGCCCTCCTGCACTGCCCACCTTGAACCCCACCACCGCGCCGTCCTCGTCGGTGTGCTGCTGGATGTCTGCAGCTCCTGCCTCCATGGCCGCCTCAAACACCGCGTCCTCGCCCTCGCTGCCATCCACCATGACGAGGCCCTGGCGCTGGAAGTTGAACAGCACGCTGCCGGGGTCCGCCACCTGCACCAACCAGCACCAGCAGCAGCAGCAGCAGCAGCAGCAGCGCTTGGCATAAGGCTGCACGTGTGTCGGCGACATCGGGCCCAGGTGCACCGATGCCTGCTCGCCTAGCTGCCCACTCTTCTCCCCACCCGCCCCCGCCAGGGTGTGGCCGCCCCATGCAACGTAAGACCCACCTTGCCGCCGGCCTTGGTGATGGCGGCCTTGACGTCTGAGGCGGAGCGGTTGATGTTGTCGGTCAGGCACTCGATGACAAAGCCAGTGCCGCCAATGCCGTACGCCTCGTACGTCATCTCCGTGTAGTCTGCCTTTGACTCTGAGGCGCGCTTGATGTTGCGGTCGATGATGTCCACAGGCACCTGCGCCATCTTGGCGGCCGCCAGCGCGTCGCGCAGCCGCAGGTTGCCCAGCGCGTCGGGGCCACCCTGACGCACCGCCTGCGCAATCTGCTTGCCGATCTTGCCGTACAGCTTGCTCTTCTGCGCGTCCGCCTTGCCCTTGCGTGTCGCAATCTTGGCGCTGCGCCTGCGGGAGGCGGCGGGCGGCGAGGCAGGCGAGGGTTTGGCAGATGGCTCAAGTGCTCGGGCCAGACACATGCGGCTGCGTGGCTGGCCTGCGGCCACGACACGCAGCCCCAGGAGTGGTAGCGCAGGACCAGGGGCGGCAGTGGCTGCAGCGGCGTTGGGCGGCGGCAGCGGCAGCGTTGGGCGGCAGCAGCAGTGGGCGGCGGCCGACAGGGCGGCGGCCTGTCTTGCAAATGATGGTCACGGGGGTGCCAACAAGGAAGTCCGAAGGTGCTCACCTGCCCATGCAGACGGGGCTGACGGTGAGCTGCCGAGTTTGTGGCGCCACCGCCAAATGCCCGCCGCGCATTAGCTGCAGGGAGCTTCCTGCAAAGCTGCTGCGGGTTCCCACCGTCCGAGCGGCGGTAGCCAGGGCGGGCGCCAGTCGCAGAAACATTATGAAGCCGCAAACCCTGCAGTGCTGCTCACGCCAATAGACGTATGCCCCAAGATGCCATGCATCATGGCCAATCCTCAAACGATGCAATGGCGAGTTTCGGCCACGTGGGCGGTGGGCAAAAAGGCCAAGACGCGGCATTTGCCGCATTTCAAACATCTGATACCATACGACAGCGCAATGCAGCAGGAGATGGAGGTGCAAAACCCTCAGAAGACTATGGGCGATCAAGGTGGGTTCCAAGGGGCAGGCTCTGCAGCTTCCCGCAGCACCGATGGCCTTTGTGGGATGCACAGCGTTCGTATTGCCGCCCAACTAGCACCAGCGGCAGCTGCGGGGTGTTGACCAGTTGACCATGACGCCCCCACGCAGCCTTCCGGGCTGGAGAGTTCGAGGAGGCCTTCGCCAGGTACTCTGCAGCGCTGGACGATGACGAGGAGCACGTGCCGACGCTGTGCAACCGCAGCCTGACGGCGCTGAAGCTGGGTGGGCACTGCCACCCTCTGCCGCTGCTGCCGCACTCCGCTTGGGCTGTGGCTCGAGCCCCTGGCGCAACATCCCATGCCCTGCCCCCTGCCTCCTGCGCGCAGGACGCCCAGAGGAAGCGCTGCAGGACGCGGAGGCGGCCCTGCACCTGCTGGCAGAGGCAGATGAGGCGCCGCCGCCGGGGCAGCTGGCCAAGGCGGTGCACCGCAAGGCGGAGGCCCTGCTTGCCCAGGGAGAGCTGCTGGAGGCAGTGCGAGCTTACCGTCAGGGCCTGGCGACCTGCCGCGGCTGCCCCGAGCTGCAAGCCGCGCTGCGGCTGGCAGCTGAGGAGCTGCCGGTGGGCTGGCTGGCCAAGTACTGGGCCCGGCATGTGGAGGCGGCGCAGGCGCCCAACCCGCTCTCCAGCCGAGACGGCCGCCTCATCAAGCCGGTGCCACCCGAGCTGCGCCTGTCGGAGGAAGACCTGGTGGCGCACCTGGAGGCTGCGCTGCACCCGCTGCAGGACGAGGTGAGGAGGGGGCAGGGCCGGGGCAGGGAGCGGGACAGGGCGCAGGCCGGGTGTGCGAGCCTGGCCATGCCCGGAAAGCCAAGAAAGCCGCCGAGGCTCACCTCCACCGCTCCACTCCGCCTCACCCCTGCCACCACCCCCAGGCCCGCGACCTGCTGTGCGAGGCGTGGGCGGCGGGGCAGCGCCCCGCCCGCGCCGAGGCCGCCTTCCTGCGCGGCGCCGCCTACCAGGCTGCCGGCAACGCCAAGCAGGCGCTCAAGGACGCCCGCTTTGCCCTGGTGTACGGCCCCCAGCTGGACGACCTGCCCCCTGCAGCAGCACCAGCAGCACCAGCGCCAGCAGCGGGGCCAGCAGGCGCGGGCTCCAGCGGCGCGATGGTGCTCAGCAACGGCGGCGGCGGCGGCGCCGGCGGCGGCGGCGTGGTTGCCGATGCGCTGCCTCCCGGCGCGGGCGCGGGCCGCACCTCGGCCTGGCCCGCGGCGCTGGCCCTGCAGTCTGCTGCGCTGGAGGCGCTGGCTGACAATGTGCTGGCTGCGCTGTCCATGGCCCGGGCTGCCGAGCTGCAGCCCGAGAGCGAGGAATACGCGGCGGCCCTGGAGCGCCTGATGCGGCGCATCCCAGAGGAGTGCGCGGCGGCGCTGCAGGTGGGCGGGCGGGGCCGGGAGGCTGCCGGCCGGCGCGGGCTGGGAGCCTGCGCGCAGGGCAAGCGCTGGGAGCCGGCCAGGCGCCGGCAGCCTGAGCATCAGCCGCTGCGGCCTGCATCTGCCCCACTCCTCGCCCACCTCGCCCCCCACCGGCAGGCCAACGGCGCGGCCGGGCTGGAGGCTCAGCTGGCTGGGGAGCGCGAGGCGGCGCGCCCCGAGTACCTGCGCCAGCGGCCCAAGTACTACTACTATTACGAGTGGATGAGGAAGCGCATCAGCGCGCAGGTGGGGGTGGGGAGCCAGCGCTGCGAGCCCTTGCGGTCGGGCTGGGGTGGGAGGGGAGTCGGCTGCGAGTTCCCGGACCGCCTGCTCTTCACCGCTGCTGTGCACCCATAGCTGACCCCGCCCCGCCATGCGGCCCCCAAGCCCCTGTAGTACCCCGCCCTGCCCGAGCCTGTGATGGACAAGATGCTGGCGCTGGAGGCCAACGAGCTGGACATGGTACTGCAGTATCCCAAAGCCACGCAGATGACGGTGGGTGGCGGGCACGGGGCATGGGGCATGGGGCGGAGGTGTTGAGAGGCGGGCAGGTGGCGGGGCTGGTCGCTGTGCTGGCCCCTTGCCCCTTCACCTGGTATCCCGCCTGCTGTGCCTGTCGTACCGCAGGTGGAGCGGCTGCTGGATGTGTACCGTGAGCAGGGAACCGAGAAGCTGGAGACGTATGCGGTACCACTGCTGTCCTGGCAGGACTACCAGGACATCAGGGAGGAAAGCGCAGCCGCCGCCGCGCTGCCAGCCGGCACCTCCGGCAGGCTGCTGCAGGGCGGCAGCGGCGACAGCAGGCCGCGAGCTGTCGCTCTTGGGCCCGGCGGTAGCCAGACTGGCAGTGGTGGGAGCGGCAGCAAGCCTGGCACCGCCGCAGCGGCGACAGATGCCAGCGGGCAGGCGGCGCCGCCGACGCCGCCCGCGGTGCCGGAGGCGGCGGTGGGCCAGGACGAGGGCCAGGATATGGCGAGCGAGGCGGGCAGCCTGGACATTGACGACCTGTGCGGCCTGGACTGAGCACGGGCTACAAGCCTCTGTCCTCTAATGCTGTAGCAATTGCTGTAATGAATTGAGTCAGTAACCAACCGACAAAGAGTCAGGCAGACTCAGCAGGCACCATTGGCACAACGTCCCCATCCATGCCGCTTTGCTTCTCTGATTTACACGGTAGCGGTGGCACGCCCCTCATGGGCAGCACGTCACAGGCGGGAATACAGTGAAAGGCAACGACTTTCCTGCACGTCCGACGTGCATAGGGTGATAGTGGCACGCGCTTGTGCTGCGGCGGGTGGGCGGGCGGGCACAAGGTTGGGGCAGTGCTCGAGTGATCAATGTTCAGGCGGGGCCTGCTGGGGGCCGGGACGTATTAGAGATAATGAAATGAAAGGGACAGACAGTTCGGTTGGAATCGTGTTTCAGCTCGGGGGGTGCTGCTGGCGCACCCGCCGCAGCTACGCGGCGGCGTCCTCCTGCACACTCAGCTGCTGCAGGTGCGGCAGCAGCAGGTCTGGCTTCCCCGCCACCGCCTCCAGGAAGGCGGGGCTGCCCAGGTGGTCGTGCTGCTGGCAGGTGGACTGCTTCCTGCGCACCTCGCAGGCCGCCGACACGTCGGGCGCCTCGCGTCCCGACGACGCCAGCTTGCTGCACCGGACGGGCGTGGGAGCGAGCACGTCAGTGGCATGGAAGGTCTTTCAGGCACAGACGGACTGCCAGCACTGGCAAGCCTGCCATGCATTGCGCCTATCACACCCGAACCCCGCAACAGACGCAAGTGAGGCAAGGCAGCGAGCGCCCCACCTGAGGTCTGGGTAGCTGTACGCCTTGCTGACGGCCAGCCCCTTGTTGCGGTTGTCCTCCATCTCCCGCAGCAGCCAGTGGCACGTGGCGGCGTCAAAGTAGCGCGCCAGCAGCCCCTCCAGCTTGCCGTTGTCCTTCTTGCTCTTGAAGTCCACAAAGTGGATCTGCGGGTTGGCAGGACATGAATGACACACAGGTGAGTGAATTAAATAATGATAACCAGGGAAGGTGAGGCGGACAAGTACAGGCAGTGCTTGTGTGCAGGACTGGGGCATGGAGAGGGAGGGTTGGCGGCGGCGCGAGCAGCGTGCGAGGGGCAGCAGGCGCGAGGCAACCCGGGCCCGCACCTTCTGCTTGGTGACTGGGTCAATGAAGCGGGAGATGGCGCGCCAGAGCGTGTTGAACACGGTGGGCGCGCTGACGATGAAGAAGGTGCCCAGGCGCTCGGGGTAGTGCGCCGCAGACAGGTTGAGGAAGATCTGCAAGGAGGCGGGAGCGGGGGCTGTCAACCGGCAGGAGGGGGCTCAGGCGGGCAGCTCAGGGAGAGCGGCACGCGATTGAAGAGCAGGCACATGCAGCGCCGCATGCCAGCGGGCCGCCCATGAAAGCATTCTGCCACATGTTCTGCCGCCGCCGCCGGCACCGCAGGCAGAACCACCACAGCCCCGGCTCGCACCTTGGCCAGGCGCGGGTCACAGTCGCGGATGGAGAAGCCGTGGAAGTCCATGACCCACACCCACGACTCGACGGGGCGCCCGCCCTGCGCCGCCGTCGCGGACTGCTGCGGCATCAGGCGGATCGCCTGCTCGAACGTGGATATCATGTGCCTGCGGGGGCGAGCACCAGCGGGCAGGTGTGGACGGGTGTGGGCGGAGCTGCCGCTACAGCACGGGCGCTGGCTTGCGGGCACAGCCTTCCCTCTCCCCCTGTGCCCGCCTTCCGCAGCCGCGCTCACTTGCGGTTGTCCTCCACGTCTCGGTTGGTGGCCAGCGCCAGGCAGCTGTAGATGCATGGGCGCCCCACCAGGTCGTGCCCCACCACCTGCATGTAGTGACTCTTGCGGTTGGCGGCGCACGCCGTGCACACGATGCCCTCGGGACGCTCCTCGCGCCGCCACGCCAGCGTGTCGCGGATGCGCCTGAGCGCATGCCTGGCGTCACCCCCCGTGGCCCGCAGGTACCTGCACACCGGCCAGAGAGCGGCGTGAGGGGGAGCAGGGGAGTGCTGCCTGTGCTGGCCGAGGGCAGCGTTTGAATGCCGGAGATGGCGGCAGTGGCCTGCCACCTGCCAGCCCCCAGCCCTCACCTGTTCGCCATGGCAGCATCGCAGATCTCCCTGTCTTCTTGGTCTAGCTGGCTGAGCACCGCCGACACTTCCTCATCTTGCGGCCAGTACTTCTTGCCCACGAGAGCGGCGGCGGCGGGCTGGGCAGCACCGTCCGGCGTTGCCGGCCCCTCGAGCACACCGTCCACGAAGCTGTCGCTGCTGCTGCTGCCACTTACGCTCTCCTCCTCAGCCTCCTCGGCCTTTGCAGCAACCAGGCCGCTCCTCGAGGGCAGCCTGAAGGAGACCATGTCTCTGGGGCTTGCAGGAGGCTTAGCCAGCTGGGCCTGCTCGCAACGTCCGCCACCTTCTGATCGCCACAGAGCAGAGCGTTGCAAGCCTGAAAGCTGCGAGCTTTATCGGCTATGACGTCAACCCTGGTGGGTCACCAAAGCGCTATGCAACACCCCGGGGGCAATGCTGCATGCAGCCAGTGGATTGATCGGGCTGCCCTTCGCGCCGGAACGAGGCCAAGTCCGAAGGGCCGTACGCACGCGGTCAGGGACATGGAGAGGTGGAGGGCAAACTCCACAGGCAAACGTCGCTCTCGCAGGCTGCAATCCATGAAACCTGTCATATCCCACTCCTCCTGTATTGCAGGCGGCAGCGACCAATCCTGCTCTCCAGGACGACTGTGCCCGCAGGAACAGCGGGGCTGCATGCCACCGTCCGCCTTATTGAGCACATTAAAATGCTCGCACAGCCATTAGAGAAGGTTCACCAATGAGCAGAGGGCCTGCGGAGGCATGCAGGGTGGGTTTCCGGAGCTTGCCGCCGCTGCTGGACACTGCTCTCAGAGCTGGTGCGGCACCGAGGTTATTACTCTCCAGCCCACCAGATTTCCAGCATCTGGCGGTTGTACAGCACGCATCAATCATGGGTTGATGGGCGGCATAGCCGGGGCCGGCTGGGGCTGGGAGTAGAGGAGGGCGCAGCTGCAGTGCCACGACCGGAGCTGGTCCGGTGGCAGGGAGAGAGCGGACTTGCGGGGATCCTGCCTAATTCTAATATGCCTCATTGCTCAGATTTGAAAGATACGTGGATGCATGATGCGCCAATCAGTCTCGAGGGAGACAGAGAGGACTCTGAGTGCGGCAACGATGACTGGGCGCCAGGCGGGGGCGGCAGTCCAGGAAGGGATTTGGGCCTCCCAAACCCTTCGTGCATCGTTCCGAGCGACCTAGACTTGTCATCATAATCGGTTCAAACGGCCTGCTGTGGCCGCCTGAGCCAGTGAATGCTCGCCAGCGCCCTGTCCCGCTCTCTGAGGACCCTTTGGGGGCAAGGCACCGCGCAGGCAGCCAGGCAATTCGCCCGATTCTGCCCGTCGGGGCCCGCGCGACACCCCTCTGGCGTCTGGGCACCTGCCGTGCGGCGGCACGTGGCGGCAGCGGCGGTGGCGGTGGACCAGCACTCTGGCAGCCACGCCGGCACGATGGAGGGCATCACATTCCTGTGCGCAGCAGGCTGGCTGGCGTGTCGCAGCTGAGTGGCTCGTCAACGAGCAGCGGCACAATGCTGCCGCCACCTTGGGTGCCCACATCGCCTGCTCTTGCTTGCTCCCTGGCCCGGTACCAACAGCACGCAGGAGCAGGCGCAGAAGCTGGATGAGGAGCTGATGGGGCCGCTGGGCTTCTCAGTGGACCAGCTGATGGAGCTGGCGGGGCTGTCTGTTGCGTCAGCCGCTGCCACCGAGTACCCCGTCAGGTGACGAACGATCCAGGGGCCGCCAAAGGCGGGCAGCAACAGCGGCATTGCAGAGCACGCCCCAGCGGCACACCTGCTTGGCTGACAGAAGCTGAATGCTGGTCTTCACGCTAACTGCAGCACACACCCGCGGGTGCTCGTGGTGGCGGGGCCGGGCAACAACGGCGGCGACGGCCTGGTGGCGGCGCGCCACCTCCATCACTTCGGGTGAGCCGCACAGCCAGCGCATGGGGCAGAGCAACTGGGCTCCTTGTGGTGGAGTCGCAGGGGTGGCGCAGGCACCAAGCCTTTGACCGGCTTTGGCAGATCGTGTGGGGGGCAGTGGTGGCAGCCCCCCCCGAGGCCCGACAGCTCACCCCAGTGTGGCTCATGCCGTCCTGGCCCTGGCTGTGCAGGTACTCAGTCACCATCTGCTACCCCAAGCCCACCGACCGCCCCCTGTACAACGGTCTGGTCACGCAGTGCCGTTCGCTGGGCATCCCGTTTGTGAGCGCTCAGGACCTGCAAGTAAGCCCGGCGGCGTGCAGCCCGGGGCCCCTCCCGGGCGGCCCAACACTGGAGGAGAGCAGCAGCAGCGTGCCTGCGCACGGAAAACGCGCGTCTTGCCGTGCAGGCAGCGGTCGACCGGCCGTGCCGCCCGCTGGTGCAGGAGGTCCCTCTGGCTGAGCGGTGCGATGTGGTGCTGGATGCCATGTTTGGCTTCTCCTTCAAGGGCGCCCCTCGCCCTCCCTTTGACGCGCTCATAGAGGTGCGTGAACCTTGGAGGCAACCTGGGGTGGCTCGCAGGCAGCACTGTGCTCCCTGGTTGCCGTGTGGGGTGTGGGCCGGCCAGGTGCCGCAGACCGCCTCTTTCTGCCGCCTTTTCGTGAGCCCGTGGTAGCATGAGATTGCTGGATGTCATGCTGCGCGCTGCGTGTGTCGTGTGTCCCACGCAGATGATGAAGCCGGCTGCCAGCCCGCCCCCTGTGGTGGCGGTTGACATCCCCAGCGGGCAAGCAGCCGCCGCATGCTGCTGCTGCTGCCTCCAGCCAGCCTGCGGCCCGGACCTCGGCCTGCTGTGCGGTGCTGCATGAGTGGCATGCTCCTGCAGGCAGCCGAGAAGATGTGTTGTGGCTGGCGGCTGCAGGTGGAATGTGGAGGCGGGGGATGACAGTGGGGAGGGGCTCAGACCCGACATGCTCATCTCCCTCACTGCACCCAAGCTGTGCGCCCAACAGTTTAGCGGAGGCCACCACTACCTCGGCGGCCGCTTTGTGCCGCCCCAGGTGCGCCGCTGGCAGCACCGGGCGTGGGCTCGTGTGCATGGCAGCTATGGCAGGCATCTGAGCGCTGGCCAGACAGAGCCAGAGGTGCCACGGCCTTCTGCGGGGCAGTCCCTTCCTGCCTGCGCAATCCTGCCTCCAGCCACGCTGCCTCCACTCCTCTCCTTTCCTGCCTGCCATGCCCCCTTGCATCCCAGATCCGAGACAAGTACCGGCTGCAGCTGCCGCCCTACCCAGGCGTCAGCCAGTGCGTGCGCATCGGCGGCTCCGCACGCTGCGCTGCCGCCGGGCCCGCCAACGTGGCAGACATGCGCATGACCTATGGGACAGCGGGGCAGTCCCTGGATGAGGCAGACGTGAGCGGCGGTGGAGGCCTGGCCGGCTGCCTGCCTGCCTGGCTAACGGCGTGCCCAGCTGGCCTGGTGCCACTGCTGCTGCTGCTGCTCTTTCCACCGCCAGGACAGTAGCCGCGACAGGGCCTGTCTTGTTTCCCTTGCTCAGCGCTGGTGCTGCGACTGCCTGCCTGCCTGCCTGCCTGCAGATGGCCACGGCGGGGCCCATTGAGGAGTTTGATGCCTGGTTCAAGCTGGCCGCCAGCTGCGGCCTCAAGGAGCCCAACGCCACGGCCCTGGCCACGTCAGACGCCGCCGGCCGGGTGTCTGTGCGCTACGTGCTGCTCAAGGGCTTCGACTCCCGCGGCTTTGTGTGGTATACCAATTACGACAGCTTCAAGGTGCGTGGGGGCGTGGCTCGGGGGCAGGCAGGCTGTGCTGGGGGGAGGTTCGGGTGGGGAGGGCGGTTGGCAGTGGGAGTATGGTTTGCGAGAATGCATGCCCCCGTTTGTGAGAGTGCATGCCTCCTGGCGTTCCTACCTGTGTCAGCCCGCCGGCTGATGGCTCGGGTGCTGTGCGTGCGGCGCCCACCTCTCCTGCCTGCCCCTGCCTGCAGGGCCACCAGCTGGAGGCCAACAGCTCGGCGGCGCTGGCCTTCTGGTGGGAGCCTCTGCAGCGCCAGGTGCGGGTGGAGGGCGTGGTGGAGCGAGTCCCCGAGGAGGAGAGCGACGCCTACTTCAGCAGCAGGCCGCGCGCCAGCCAGGTGCGGGACGGCTGCCCCCCCCGCGACGCCTGCCGCACGCTGCGGGGTTGCCTTGCCAAGGCGGCGCCTGCCTGCCTTGTGCCCGGCCTGGCTGTTCTGCCCCCTCGGGCTGTGCCCCTGCATGAAAACGCCCGCTGCCCAGACCCCTCTGGCTCGGACTCCCGCCACCCGCCCTGCTCCGCAGATCGGGGCGCTGGTGTCCATGCAGTCCACGCCGCTGCGCCACGGGCGGCGGGAGCTGGAGGAGCGCGCCGCCCGGCTGGAGGCGCAGTACAGCGACGAGAGCGTGGCGGTACCGCGGCCGCCGCACTGGGGCGGCTACCTGCTGCGCCCGCTGCGCGTGGAGTTCTGGCAGGGCCGCCCCAGCCGCCTGCACGACCGCCTGCGGTACGTGCGCGGTGCCGTCGACTCCGACCAGTGGCGCTTGGAGCGGCTGGCGCCCTGACCAGCACGGCCCCCTGAACTTGCACACGACTCCCCTGAGTGCGCTGGACCAGCCAGACCCATGTAGCTGTGAAGTACCGCATGTACTTGTGAAGTACCACCGTGCCGGCGGGGGGTGCCCTCTCCAGGGAGCCGACAGAAATCAAACTGGCAGACTGTGTGCCCCAGACTCACTGACTGGTTACTGGTTTGGTTTTGCTGTGTTGGAAGTCAGTGCGGATCAGAGGCAGCCTGGGGCGGGAGGCCCTGGTGGCTACGGGAGAATGAAACTGCAGGGGGAAGAGCGCGAAAAACGTGCTAGGCGGCAGGCATTGTTGCACAAAGGATGGGGCTATATAGTTTAAGGGAGCGCGGGCGTCATGGCGCAGCCCATGGGACGGAGGCGCCAGGTCATGCCAGCTGGGCCATGATGTCGGCATCCCGCACAACGATGTAGTGCTTGTCGTCGGGGCCCTCAAACTGCAGGCAGCGGCGGGCGGGGAGGCGTGGCACCGGGGTCAGTCACCCGCCGCTACCGCCTCCCTGGCAGGAGAGCGGCACCGCCGCAACACGCCACCCAATTGCCACGTTCAGGCCACCCGGTGTCCCATGATTGCGGCTGCTGGCTGAGCTGCCTCAAGAACCACGCCGCACTCCAGGCTCCGCTGCTGGGCGCCGGCCTCCAGCCCCAGCCTCACCTCGGTGCCGCTGTACTTCTGGTACAGCACGGTGGCGCCCACAGATAGCTTGGGTGCCACCGTCTTGCCCTCCTCCTCGCGGCCGGGGCCCACAGCCACCACCTTGCCCATGGTGGGCTTGTCCTTGGAGCCCTCCGTCAGCAGCAGGCCGCCGCTGGTCTGCGCCTTGGCCTCCTCCACCTCAATCAGCACGCGGTCCTGCGGGCGGGCGGGTTGCCGGGCGAGCGAGTTCGCGAGAGCGGCCCGAATGTTGGCAGCCGCTCGGCAGGCTTGCCTGCCAAGCTGTGGCTGTGCTGGCCACGACAGCGGCGAACCCTTCCATGGCAGGCAGCACAGCTGTGAGGCCTGCAAAGCGTTCCACATGCGAGGCACTCCAATGGTGCGCGAAGTGGCGCACCTGCAGTGGCTGCAGCTTGGAGATATCATCGCTGCCAGGCAGCAGGCCAATCACATCGTCCTCCTGCGCCATGGGGTGTGCCAAAAGGGTGCCAGAGTGAGTACGACTGGCAGCAGAAGGCGGGACATAAACGGCTCGACGTGCCACAGCCGATGCTCCGCCTTCCAGGCTGCCTGCTTGCCGCTGGTCCGTGCCTCAACTGCTTCTCGCCTCCCTGCCGCTGGCCGACAACACACCGCCAGAACCGCAGGCCTGGCATAGCCGCAGCAGGCGCTGACGACCCGGTCACACCCTGCCTGCGCCATGGTCCGTCCAGAACCTTCCGACCGCTACCCTGCGGGCCGCACCTTGAGCAGCACATAGTTGTCTCCCTGCAGCTCCAGCTCGGTGCCGGCGTACTTGGAGTACACCACCTTGTCGCCAGACTGCAAGGCGGGAACGAAGCGCCAAGCGCTGCAGTGAGGCGCAGCAGGCGGGCAAGGGCAGGCTGCGGCGCCTGCCGCCTGGCGCCACGCACCTTGACGCCCTTGGCGCTGCCCGCGCTCTGCACGGTGCCCTGCGTGGGCCGCTTCTGCGCAGAGCTGGGCAGCAGGATGCCGCCCACGGTGGTGGCTTCTGCCTCCTCAGCCTTGACAAACAGGCGGTCGCCCACAGGCGTCACGGTTTTCACCTGCAAGGCGGCAGCGGCGGCGCAGTGGGAGGACTGAGCTGCCAGCAAGCGCTCCATGCATGTGCACCTGGGAATCAGGCTGTGCGCCCAGGGTGAGTCCTGGGCGTGCCAACCATAGACCAGCGTCTGGAAGAGCCTTGCAGCGGCAGAAACGCATGGCCACGTGCATTGGGCGGCATCGGACCGCCAACCCACCTCTGCGGGCAGTGCGGTGGCTGCGCGCACCACCAGGCGACCGGCCCGGCGGCAAGGAAGCCGAGCCACCGCAGGGGCAGCCCTCACGCTCTGCATCACACACGCCACCATTGCTGCCAGTCGTGATGCAGGTGGAAAAAGGGCGTAATCCTTGGAGAGAGGGCTCCATCATCCCGCCACCAGTACACTGCATGTACCTCGCAGAGCATTCCCGGTGAGGTGGGCCTTCGCGGGCAGTCGATCACGAGCCCAGTCGCTGCAGCACCTACTCAGTGCATCCAGCAGCTAGTCAAACGACACAGGGCAGTCGCGAGGGAAGAGGGCTCTGAAGCTGGCGGGGGGCGCTGGAAATTGATCGGAGGGCGCAGGCACAGCGTGGAGGCGTGGCGGGTGAGCAGAGCGCGTGATCGGCGAGCTGCAAGCCCCACCTGGAGCAGCTGCCAGCGCCTTGTTGCCCGCCGTCTTTGAAGTACTGCCGGGCGCAGGGCGGGGAGGGCCTGGCGCCGCGGGCAGGGAGCAGGGCGGCCGCCGCTCCGCCTGTTGGGTGGCGGCGCCACCAGCCGCCTGCTCACCGCGGCCTTGGCTGCTTGCAGGCGTGCCAGGATGGGGAACACCTTTAGAAAGCTGTTTGACGGGTTGTTTGGGAGCAGGGAGATGCGAGTGGTGATGCTAGGTGCGTGCTGAGGCTGCTGCAGAGCAAGCCGCCGCTGGGGAGCTCCCCTGGCCTTCATTGCGCATGCTGCATCTGCATCAGCTGCCGTGGCAAGAGCACCAGGCCGCTCTTGTCGGCATGCAGGGCTGGACGCAGCGGGCAAGACCACCATTCTGTACAAGCTGCACATCGGCGAGGTGCTGAGCACTGTGCCAACAATCGGCTTCAACGTAGAAAAGGCGAGCCCGCTTGGCTGCTTGCTGCCGCCGCCGTGCACCAAGGTTGCTGCCGCGTGCCCCGCACCCTCCTGCGAGGGACCTGCGCTGCTGCCTCGGCGCCCGCCCTGTTGCGCCCTGTTGACCCGGGCTGCGTGCGGCGCGCAGGTGCAATACAAGAACGTGGTGTTCACGGTGTGGGACGTGGGCGGCCAGGAGAAGCTGCGCCCGCTGTGGCGGCACTACTTCAACAACACCGACGCGCTCATCTATGTGGTGGACTGCTGCGACCGCGAGCGCGTGGGGCGCGCCGCCAGCGAGTTCAAGGTGAGCCACGTCGGCCGCTGGCGGGGCGCAGGGGACGGCGGTTTGGGGAACGGCTTGCACCCGCAGAGCGGCTGTGCTCTGCTCTCCCGCTTTGCGCCCGCCTCGACCACGTGTGCTCTGCCTCGTGCGCCTGCACCTCCTGCTGCCCGCCTCCTGCCTGCAGCAAATAGTGGAGGACCCTCTCATGCGGCACAGCGCCATCCTGGTGTTTGCCAACAAGCAGGACCTCAAGGATGCGCTGAGCCCCGCCGAGACGTGCGAGGCGATGGGGCTGCCGCAGATGAAGGCGCGCAAGTGGCACGTGCAGGTGCGCTGGGCGCAGCGGGCAAGGGGCCAGGGGGAGGACAGGGCCGTGCAGCAGGCAGCGGGGCTTCTGGAAGCAAGCCGCTGCCACTCTGCCTGGCCGTCTCTCGTGTGGGCCGATTCAGTCACCCCCGCCTGTCTCCCCTGTTCGCCTGTCCCCGATTCTCGTTCTGCAGGGCGCCATCGCCACTCGCGGCGAGGGTCTGTATGAGGGCCTGGACTGGCTGAGCACCACACTCAAGCAGATGAACCGCGGAACAACGCCAGCACCCAAGAAGTGAGCCGGCGGGCAAGCCGGCAGCAGCAGCAGCAGCTTAGCACTGAATCTTTGGCTCCTGCGCCGTACCATGGCGTGGCGCTGGGCACACCGCCGTGCAGCAGCATGGCGCAGGAAGCGCCTGTACCAAGCTTGATCGTCGCACAGGGATGGCGGCGTGGCGCCGCATCTGTCTAGGGAGCCCTGGATGGCCTGTGCCGCATCCCATTGGGAGGTATGCAGCCTCGAAAACAACCTGTAAACCAACAAACTTGCCTTCATTCGCATTTTAGCTGTGGGAAGCAGAACGGGCGGCGTGGCACAGCGGCCGCAGCGTGTCGCTCACCATTGTTGTCCCGTTTGTGCTGTTTCCTCCTGCGGCATTGTCTGGGACTGCCTGCACATCCTTGCATTGTCAAGAGCAACCTTAAGGCCAGCAACCGGAGAACTGATCGTGCCGAGCATGGCGGAGAAGGAGCTGTGGAGCTGCCAGCGGTTTGAGGATGCCCACAGCCACAAGGCCTACTTCATCTCTATTGCGCACCGCGCGGCGGCGGGCCAGGAAGGCACCGCGGACCTGGCGCTGACCGACGGCGCTGGGGCCTGGACGGTGCAAGGCGAGTTTGCCTTCTGGCAGCCCTCTGGCAGGAGGCTCGCTCTGCTACGGCAGCCACAGGCTAGTGAACCTTTTGTCAAGGCGATAGTGCACTGCTGGCTTGCCCCATCTGCAGGCGTGACATCGGCGAGCCTCAAGGGCCAGGGCAAGGAGAAGCTGAGGCACCTGCAGGCGGCTCTGAGCGAGCTGGAGGAGGCGAATGTGGAGTACAGGACGGAAGTGGTGCCAAACCTTGATGGTAGCGTGGTGGGTGGGGACGGGGGCCTGCCCATGTCCATGCTGCCTCCGCCTCCAGCCTGGCAAGCCGTTGAGCAGCAGATGCTCGTGCAGCAGCAGAGGGTGTGCTGCTCCCTCCCCCCCTGTCTGGTGGTTTCCTATCGTCGTGTACATGCTTGCCTGCAGGACCTCAAGGTGTCGTTTCAGAACCCAGGGGTGAGGGTGTTCATCACGGCCTCCTTGGCGGCGGCGGTGCCGGCCGCGCCTGTGATTGCTTCGATGCTGGAGCTGCTGGTGGGCAACCTGACAGCCCTGCAAGCCACCAGCCTGGACCTGGTGCAGCAGAACAAGGCGTTTGAGCAGCAGGTGGGAGCTGCCTGCGGGCTGTGTGCCAGCGTGGAGGGATTCAAGTTCAGGTCCAGGCATGCAGGCGGCGTGCTGCCAGCTGTCTGGGGGCGTCAGATTCAGCTCAGGCTGAACTGAATAGGCACTGCCCTGTTGTGGGGCTTTGTTCTGTTGCAGCTGGCTCGCAGCCAGGACATAGTGGACAAGTATGTGAACAAAAAGCTGGAGCACGACAAGGAGACCAACATTAAAGTTGCGGCACTGCTGAACAGCAAGAAGCAAAAGCTGCGGGAGCTGAAGGGCCAGCTGGATGCGGCGCAGGTATGCCGGCACGGCGGCCGCTGGCTCCGGCTGCGGGCCCCGGCTGCCTGCTGTTGCCGCTGCTGGCAGGCACTGGCACCAGTTGCCTGGCCCAGTTCCTGCTGCTGCTCGTCTCAGCAGGCCGTGCTGCAGCGGTGTGGATCGCTGAAGCTGGCCACTTCAACATGGCTGACCCTGCAAGGACGACAACGACTTTCCTGGTTGTGCAGGAGGAGATCAGGCGCCTGAAGGAGCAGGGAGCAGCAGAGCCGATGGATGAGGATGCGGATCGCGAGGGCGATGGGGGGGCCGGCACATCCAAGCAGGGCAGCCAGCGGCAGCGGGGCAGGGCGACGCGAGTGGTGGAAGATGATGATGAGGAGGAGGAGGAAGAAGAGGAGGAGGAGCGGGACCACAGCCCGCACGGCTACAGCGATCAAGATGCAGAGTACTGAGCATTGGGGGCGGCACGCAGCTCACAGCAGCTTTCATCGCTTGCAACGCATGAGTAAAGCCTGTAGATCATGCCATGCAGCCCCGCACGTAATCTTCTGCCCTGGTGATGCATCCTGGCAAGAGAAGATGGACTCGCACGCTGGCGGGCGGGGCGCCAGGTCATGCTCGGCGCCGCCAGCTGATGACCCTGACTTATTGCCCACCGCTTCAGCGTGCTCTAGGACACCTGCAGTGGCTCTCGCAATGCACGGGGGGGCTGAAAAGGGCACTCAAATCCCCATGTTGTGATCGGTGAGCCCACCAGGGCGCCCTCCCGGCAGCGATGGCATCTGGCAGCCGCACGGCGTTCACAACAGCGTTGCTGGTGGACCGCCGGCAGCAGGCCAGCTCAGCGGCGATCACGGCGGTGGCCGTGGACCAGCAGGGCTTGCGCCTCTACCTGGGCCTCGAGGACGGTGTGTTGGAGGAGCACGCCATCCTGCACGGCAGCCTGGGGCCCAGGGCATCCCTGGCGGCCCGCAAGCACGCTGCCAAGAAGGTGCGTGCGGCGGCGGTGGCGGTGGCGGCGGCCTCGTAGCCAGCCCTCTCCCCGCACCGTCTGTGTGCCTCTGCTGCTGTGCAGGCCATCCTGGGCATCCATCTACTGCCCGCGCAAGGCCTGGTGGTGCTGCTGAGCGAGGACGGCGTGGTGCAGCTGCTGGATGGCGACACACTTGAGGGGCGGGCCTTGCCGCTGCGGTGCGCTCCCCTTGTGATGCGCCGACGATTCGTGTGTGGCCTGCACCGTCATCGAGGCTCGCCATTACATTCAACTATGTGTTCATCTGTTGGGTGCTGCGTGCAGGAACGCGGTGGCCACGTGCATAGCGTCGCCGCCGGGGCGCCCGCCCCGCCTGGCGGTGGCTGCCAAGCCGAGCAAGAAGGCAATCAGGTGTGGCTGGCGGCTCGATGCGTGGCCGCTGTTGATGGGATGGTGCTGACATGCATGCCTGTGGCGCAGCCCCGTGCCTGATCCAGCGTTCTGGCTGGCACGGCTGCAGGTTTATGGTGTTTGAGCTGGCTCAGCCCGCCAGCAGCGCCGGCCACCTGTCGCCCTTGCAGCAGCTGCCGCACCCGCACCTGCTGGGCCAGGCAGAGGTGCCAGACTCGTCCCCCGGCGTGCACAGCATGGGCTGGGTGGGCGGCCAGCTGGCGGTGTGCGCCGGCATGCGCTACCTGCTCGTCTCGCCCTTCGGGCCCGTGGGGTCCGCAGCGGCGGGCGGCAGCGGCCCTGGCTCCTCACAGTGGCGGGAGCTGCTGGCTGTGCCGGAGGAGCTGGCCTACTCGCCTGCCATGCTGGCGCCTCTGCCAGACCTGGGCAGGGCGGTGCTGGTGGTGGTGAGTCGCCGTCCTGGTGCAGCGGCTGGTTGAGCTGGCGCAGCGGCTGGTCGAGCTGGCGCCTGCTGTGCGTGTGCACCCGACCATGCCGTGCCGTGCCGTGGCTGCAGGGCCCGGCGGGCATTGTGGTGGATGCGGCGGGCAGCCCTGTGGGCAGCACGCTGCGGCTGGAGTCGCTGGGCGCCACGCCGCGTGCCCTGGCCGCCTCCGGCGCCTTCTTGCTGGTGGTCAGCGAGGCGGCCATCCACGTGTTTGACCGGGACAGCGGCGCAGAGGTGCAGCGCCTGGGCTTTGGGCCTGGGCTGCGCCCGGCGCCCGGCCAGAGGTTGCATGCTGCAGCCGCCGACGGCGCCGACGGCAGCAGCGCCGACGGCGGCGAGGCTGGAGGCGGGCGTGTGGGCTGCGTGGTGGTGGCGGGGCGGCGCCTCGCCTGGCTGTGCCTGCCCGTGTCGCCGGCAGACCAGGCCCGCGAGCTGCTGGGGCAGCGGGAGTATGAGGCGGCGCTGGAGCTGGTAGAGCAGGGCCTGAGGCGGGGCAGCCCTTGGGCGCAGGTGGCGGCGGCGCAGGCAGCGCTGCTGCTGCTGCATGGTGAGCCGCCGTGTGCCTGCCACCCTGGCTGTCCTATGCTGCGCTGTTCTGCGCTGCACGCGCACCGCCTGCTCGGCATCCTAGACCTATAGTCCACTTCTCTGCATCGTTCTAGTTATAACCACCAAGCTAACCTCGACACCTGCTTGCCTGCTCGCAGAGTGTCGGTTTGAGGAGGCGGTGGGCTGCCTGGAGCAGTGCAGCCCACCCACGTTTCAGCCTTCCCAGCTCTTCCCGCTGTTCCCCACCTACACGGCTGCCTGGGCGCAGCAGGTGCCTGGCCAGCAGCAGTATTGGGGCCTGCATGCCCCGCTGCCCAGCCTTGAGACGCTCATCAGCAGGAAGCTTGCCAGTGACAGGGTGCAGTACCCTGGGCAGCCCAGCGGCGACAGCAGCGGGCAGCCCAGCCCAACTGGCGGTGGGCTGGGCCTCAAACTGGGCAGCAGCAGCCGCAGCAGCAGCTTGTTTGCATTAGAAAGCAGCAGCGGCGGCGCAGGCTCGCCGCCCGCCTCCCCGTCGCCTACGGCTGCCGCGCCTGGCGGCAGTGCGGCGCAGCAGCCTCATGGCCGGGGTCAGCAGCAGCACGCGAAGCAGCACGAGCAACAGACTGAGGTGGCGGCAGCAGAGCATCGTGCGCCCCAGAACGGCGCCCTGCAACCGCCTGCAGCCGGCGAGGGGCCCCGGGCGCAGCAGCAGCAGCAGCGGGACGCGCGGCGAGAGCACTTGCAGCGGCAGGCCTGGGAAGGCTTAGCGCAGTACCTGTTCAGGGTGCGTGGGTGAATGGTGACCAAGCGCCTGCCCTGTTTCGTCGGCATCGCCTCTCCCAGAGCCGACACATACGCACACGCGCCTGGCTCAACATGCCCCGCCGCCATTCTCACTGCCGCCGCCGGCCTGTTTTTGCCTGCGGCTATGCTGCCGTGCCTGCCCGGTGATGCAGGTGCGCATGCTGGATGGTGTGGCTTGCCTGGAGGGAGTGGACACCTTGCTGCTGCTGCTGCTGGCAGACCTGGGGGCTGCCCGCCAGGTGGCGGCCTTTGCGGCGGTGCCCAACCGCGTGCACGTGGCGGCGGTGGAGCCTCGACTACAGGTGCGAGAGATAGATGGGAGGGCAAGCAGGCAGGGGCGGGGCTGGTTGGCCGTAAGGGATGCCGTCTGGCTGGGGCGTGGCAGCGCGTTGGTGTGCCAATCGACCCACCCGTTGGCCCAGCTTCCGTCTCCCGTGCCGCACACCGCCCCGCAGGCGGAGCAGTGGCACCACGCGCTGGCCACGCTGCACGCTGCGCGCGGCGAGGCTGACGTGGCGCTGCGCATCTGGCGCCAGGTGGCGGACGGCCGGCTGGCGTCGCCCGCCGGCCCCGCGGTGCAGGCGGCGGAGCGGCGGGAGGCGCTGGAGTCTGCTGCTGCGCTGCTGCGGGACCCTGCCACCTGCCCCGAGTCGGCGCTGGTGGGATACCTGCCCTGGCTGCTGGAGGCCAGCCAGCCGGCGGCGCTGGGGGTGCTCACGGCGCGCAGCCTGATGCCCGCCGCGGTGCTGCCGCTGCTGCCACCCGAGTCGGATGTCCGCTGGCAGTACCTGGCGCATGTTGTGGAGGCAGGGGGGCCTGGGGCCGGCCCCGCGTTGCACACAGAGCTCGCCACCCAGCTGGCAGCAGCCATCCTGCGAGCGCAGCCGGCGCTGCGCGCCGCGGCGCCGCCGGGGAGCGGCCCCAGCCCGCGCCGCCGCGCCCGCGCCGACGCCGGTCGCAGCAGCGCCGCCGGCCGCCGCGCCTCGCGCGCCTCCGTCGCCGAGCTGGTCAGCGGCGGCAGCCTGGAGCCGGGGCCGGGAGCCGGCGCCGTGGATGCCATGCGACTGCGCCTGAGGGCCCACCTGGAGCGCTCGGCGGCGCTGGATGGAGAGGCGGTGCTGCGCAGCCTGCTGGGCACCGCGCTTCACGAGGAGCTGGTGGTGCTGCACGCCAAGGCAAGCCCGCTCGCGTCGCGCCCGCCGCCGCCGCCGGGCAGCTCGCGGCTTGCTTGCTTGGGGGGCCGCCCCGCGGCTGGCGCAGCGTGCAACGGCGTGCTGCTAGTGCCTGCACGGCGCCGTGCGCCGCGCATGCTCCGTCCTCCTCCCCTTGCCCCCTGGGCCTGACCCCCCTACGCCTGACCAGCCTGCCCCACCCTTCTCCCTGCCCCCCATCCCACCCCTCTTCGCACAGCTGGGCGACCACATGTCGGCGCTGCGCGTGCTGGCGGTGACGCTGCGTGACGTGGCGGCTGCTGAGGCCTACGCGCGCGCCCACCTGCGCCCCGCCGACTACCGAGCCCTGCTGCTCCTGGTGCTGGAGCCGGGGGAGGGGCTGGAGCCGCGCTGGGAGGACGCCTGCCACCTAATCACCGCCCTGGGTGGGTGTGGGGCGCGGGGCGGGGCAGGGGCAGGGGCAGGGGGTGGAGGAGCGGGCCGAGGGTTCCGGGCGCCAGGCCGGCGCCTGTGCTTGGCCTGGTCCGCCGGCGCCTCCTGGGCCGTGCCGCCGCGCCCCTGTGCTCATATGTACGCTCTCTCCACCACTCTTGCCCACCGCTCCCGCCGCCACCCTCCACCGCCGCCACCCGCCGCCGCCGCCCACCGCAGGCGACCATCTGGATCCTCAGGAGGTGCTGCGGGCGCTGCCGCCGGGCATGCCGCTGCCCGCCGCCGCCCCCGTGCTGGCTCCCATGCTGCGCGACCGCCTGCACCGCCGCCGCGTGGCGGCCCTGGCCAAGAACCTGCACCGCGCGCGGCTGGCGGTGGTGGCGGGGGCGCAGTGCGACGGCGAGGCGCGGCACGTGGCGGTGGATGAGGAGCGGGCTTGCCCGCACTGCCACCTGCGCCTGGGGGGCAAGGTGTTTGTGGTGCTGCAGCCGGGCATGCTGCCAGGGGCGGCAGCAGGCCCGACAGCTGCTCCGCGGCCGGGGCCGGGCAGCGCAGTGGCGGCATCCGAGCGGCAGCAGCAGCAGCAGGGGGGAGAGGAGCCAGAGGGGCTGCGCCCGCCGGGTGACGACAGCATGGCGGCGGCGGTGCGGCAGCTGAGGCAGCAGCTGGCGTCGGGGCAGGCGCCGCAGGTGATGTGCTACGCCTGCTACCGCCGGCTGGCGGGGGCAGCCTCGCTGCCCAGCACGGCGCCGGCGTGACGGCTGCGTAGGACCGTCGGAAAGCCCCGCTGTGACCGCTGCGACTTGTTGACTCTTGACAGCCTGTCTTGACACCCTGTGCTTGCAAGCCTTTACGTGTCAGCATGTGTCAATAAAAAATGTGGGTCAACAGTGCAATGAAATGACGATGAGAGGGCAGGGTGGCCAGGTGCCGGGTCACGTGGCCAGCACCTGCAGCAGCTGCAGCCTGTCGGCCAGGATGCCGGCAAACACGAGGGCGCCGTAGCCGGCGTTGCTCACAAACTTGGCCTGGCAATCTGGGCCACTGTCCAGATCCACGGTAGTCACCTGCCAGGCCAGGTGGCCCGCCGCCGCCGTCACCCCGGCATAGAACGCCGGGCCGCACCCGGCCGCCTGCCCCGTCAGCGCCAGCAGGGCGATCGCGCCCGCGCCAAAGGCGGCGCAGTAGTGCTTGGTGCGCGGGCCAAAGGTGAGGGCTGTGGAGCGGATGCCTGCCTTCACGTCGTCGCTCTTGTCCTGCAGGCGGTTGGGGCGGGACAAGACGCGTGCGGGCGGTGGGCGGGGTAGCGAGGAGGCATGGTGGTGTGCTGGTGGAAAGGGCGCAGGCAGAGCCCAGGCATCCCAAGGTCCGCTGCCAGGCCCATCTTCTGGCGCTGCAGCCAGTGTCATGGTCATGCTTGGCAGCGGCTGGTTGGCCAACGCTCGCTACCATGCTTGACACTGTCGTCGGCGGCGTGGGCTGCCCGACGCTCCCAAGCAGGCTCAACAGAGGCCTGCAGCCCCATCGCCAGCGCCCGCCGCCGCATCAAGCACCCCATCCCCTGCACTGCACCCATCAGCCAGGCCCACCTGGTGCGCATAGATGGTGTCATACACCAGCGTCCAGCACACGCCCGACGCATACAGCGGCAGTACCACGCCCCACTGGCAGCTGCCGTGCACCGCGGCCCAGCCCAGCAGCGCCCCCCAGTTGAAAGTCAGGCCCAGGAAGGCCTGCAGGCGGGCGTGGGGATGGGCAGGCGGCAGGCAGGCGGCAGGCACGCGTCCTCGACGACCCAGCCAGCAAGGGAGCAGGCGGATGGGCGCCGCAGAGCAGCGAGCGGGCCAGCGGTGCAGCAGGCGCGGTGGTGGGAGCAGGGCGGAAGGCGGGCGGGCACCTGAGGCCACCCGGTGACGCGCTTCATGAGTGGGTAGGCAGCCACCAGGGCCAGCGAGGAGGCGCCCAGCAACTGGCTGTACGGGTTGAGCTGCACCAGGATGGCCAGCCCCGCCGACAGTTGGGCCGCCAGGAAGGCTGCACCGGGCGCAAGCAGGGGTGCAGGGGGTTGGGGTGGGCGGCCAGTGTCACAGGGAAGCAGGTGAAAGCAGCCAAGCACAGCGGACCACGGCGGGGCAGGGAGCAGCGGCGCGCTGCGGGGCACCCACCGACGGCCTGCGCGGGCGTCACGGCACCTGCCGCCAGCGGGCGCCCGCGCGTGCGCTCCACCCGCCGGTCGAGCTCCCTGTCCCACAGATCGTTGATGGTGCAGCCCGCGCCGCGCAGCAGCACGGCCCCCAGCCCAAACAGCGCCATGAGGCGCAGGTCTGGGGAGGTGCCTGGGGGCGCCGCCAGGCAGATGGACCAGAGGCAGGGCCAGGCCAGCAGCCAGGTGCCGATGGGCTTCTCAAGCCGCATCAGCTGCGCGTAAGGCACCCACGACTGCGGCAGCCGGTCCAGCCAGGTGCCGGTGACGATGGGTTGGCGGCCTGCCGGCGGCGCTGCTGCTGGTGCTGAGGAGGGTGCCGCCTCGCTGCCGGCTGCAGGCGAGCCGCCGCTTGTGCCGCTGCCGACATGATGGGGCTCTGCTGCATCCGCTACTGTCGTCGCGCTGCCGGGCTGCTCTTCTGGACGTCTCGCGGCAAGCAAGCTGGCTGCAGTGGACGAGTATGGGCTGCTGGACCCCAACAGGCAGGCCCAGGCGGCCGGGTGGCCACCGCCCACTGCCGCTGCCGTACCTCCGTAATTGAAGCTCGGCGACCAGCTGGCGCCCGCTGCTGCAGTGCATTCGGGCAGTGACGACTGGCTGAGGTCGTCCAGCAGCGCAGCGGCCGCTTCAGCCCGGGGCAGGCCAGCCAGCAGCCTGGGCCCGCCGCGGCGCGCCCAGGAGGCCAGCATTGAGGCTGCGGCGCGCTGGCGCAGATGACCCGCCGCCCAGGGTTGAGGTTAGGATCAAGCTGAGCTTCTGCAGTGGCGACATTGCCCGTGCTTCGTCTGCGTTGCCAGCAGGGAGCCAGTCCACCCAGAGCTATGCCAAAATTGCCCCAGGCGGGTGTCACAATGATCTGGCGATTGCCAAGGCAGCAGACGCACGTAGCGATCGATGAGGTGACGGCCCTTGGACCTAGGGATGGAGGACCCTGAAGCCCGGCAGGGGCCGGAGGAGGATGTGGTGGACTTGGTAGCGGAGGAGGAGGAGGAGCAGCAGCAGCAGGGCGGCGGCGGGTGGGCGGCGGCGGCACCGCGAGCGCGGTGGGCGGCAGCGGCAGCGGCGGCAGGACCCGCAGGGGGAGCGGCAGCAGCGGCGGGCCAGCAGGCAGCAGAGGAGGAGGAGCTGGCGGCGGACATCATGCGGGAGGCGGCCAGCGGCGTGCTGCTGCCCTTCCAGCGGGCAATGGTGGAGGAGCTACTGGAAGAGGATGGGCTGTGCGTGCTGAGCCCCGGCCTGGGCCTGCACCACGTGGTGGCGGTGCTGCTGCGCCTGCAAGACGCCCGCCTGCGCCAGCCGGGCCAGCGCGGCTGCGTGCTGGTGCTGGGGGCCTCGCCCTGGCAGCGTGACGCGCTGCGCCGCGAACTACTGCGCATCGATCCTGTCATACGAGCCAAGGCGCAGGCGGTGGCGGCGGGCAGGGCGGCCTCTGCTGCCGGCGCTCGCGCGGCAGGTGCGCTGCCGCCGCCCTTGCCCTGCCCCAGCCCTCCTGCGTCTTGCCGCCTGCCAGTTCTGCCAACGAGCCTGTTGCCGCGACTGCTCCCAGCTGCTCACCTGCCGCCGCGCTGCCCCATGCTCCTTGCCCCATCCCAGCCGCGTTTGAGGTGCCAGGCGAGGTGAGGGCGGAGGTGGCGGCGGCGGAGCGCCAGGCCCTCTACGCCTCCCGCTCCTGCCTATTTGTGACCACCCGCATCCTGGTGGTGGACCAGCTGAGCGGGCGCATCTCGGGGGGGCAGGTGGCGGGCATGGTGGTGCTGAATGCGCACAGGTGGGTGGGTGCTTGCGTGGCGGCGCTGGCGCGGGGCGCGTTTTTTTTGTGAGGCGGATGGCCCCACGCTGCTCGCGCAAGGCATTTTTAGCGGTCTGCCGCGTCTACACTTCTGCGCTGCCACCCTCCTGCTCTGCTCGCCCCGCCTTCCGGCCCGCAGAGTGACGGACAGCAGCGGGGAGGGGTTTGCGGTACGGCTGTACAAGGCGGCGTGCCCGGAGGGCGTGGTGCGTGCCTTCTCAGACGTGCCCTCCAGCTTCTCCTCAGAGTTCAACAAGGTACCGTTGGTACTGGTGGTACTGCCATGCACGTGCAGCGCATCGTGGCATGGTACTGCAGGGCTGCGAAGCGCCGCCCGCTCTCCTGTTCCAGATGCTGCGTGGCTGTCTGCTGTGCTTGACCAGATGCTGCACGGCTGCCTGTGCGTCACCGCTGCGGGCCGTGCCCCGTCGTCCCACCCGCACCCGCCGCCTGCAGGTTGAGAAGGTGATGAAGGCGCTGTATGTGCGCCGCCTCTACCTGTGGCCCCGCTTCCAGGCGCAGGCACGCGAGGACCTGGAGGCGCGGCCGCCGCAGGTGAGCCGCACTCGCTGGTAGCTGCTGGCCTGCGGTCGCGCTGCCTGCCTTGGCGCCAGCCACGCCTCTTTTCGCACGCGCTGCCCCCACACGCCGTCTCACAGGCGCGCCCCTGCCTCCTCCTTCTCCCCCGCCACCCGCAGCTTGTGGAGCTGAGCCAGCCCATGAGCTCCGCCATGGGGCTGATGTATGAGGCCATCACAGAGCTGATGGATGCGTGCGTGCGGGAGCTGCGCAAGACAAACAAGCTGGACACGAGTGACCTGACTGTGGAGCAGGTGCTGGTGTATTACATGGGTGGCGGGTGGGGTGGCTGGATGGGTGGGGACAGCGAAGGCAAGCAGGGCCCGGGGAGAGCACCAGGTTGCCTCGCAGACGGCCTGTCGGGCATCCTCTGGTTGCAAGCCGGTGCCTGACCCTCCTGCTCCACCCCCTCTCCTGCGCCTCCTGGCCCCCACAGGGCCTGTTCCGCAGCTTTGACGAGGCCGTGCGGCGCCAGCTGGCGCCCATTTGGCACACCGTGTCGCCCAAGACGCGCCAGATTGTGGCAGACCTGCGCACGCTGCGCGGGTGGGTGGGCTGGCGCGGGGGCTGTGGGTGGGCAGGTGTCTCGGGTGTGGTGGCGGTGCGGGCTGTGTGTCACTGTGGGTGGGCCCAAAAGCCCTCGCTGCCGCGGCAGCTCCCTCCCTCCCACCACCCCTTGCTTCTCACCACCCATCGTACTATGATAGTATCTTCTCACCACCCCTGGTACTACGATAGTATCCACCACCTCTTCCTCCCCGCCGCGCCACCCCTGCCGCCCCTGCCGCAGCCTGGCCTCCTACATGCTGCGCTTTGATGCCGTCACCTTCATGTCGTACCTGGACAACCTGAGGGCCACCGAGGGGGTCAAGTCGGTGTGGCTGTTCCACTCGGGTGCGCGCTGGGCTGGGCGGGGGTGGGGTGGGCTGGGCGGGGCTGGGCTGGGCTGGCCTGGGCTGGTCCACGCCGGGCCCCCGCCTTCCATCGGAGGCTGTGCGTGGCTCGATCGGGGAGGTGGCTTGAGTGGTGGTGGCTTGGGCTGCTGCTTGGCTCGCCGCTGGCGGGCGTTTGTCATCTCGCCTGCCACTCATATCCCTCCTGCTGCTGGCCGCCCCCCTGCCCTGCAGCCGCCCACACCATCTTTGAGGCAGCCAAGAGCAGGGTGTACCGCCTGAAGCAGGGCGGTACCGCGGCGGCGGCGGCGCAGCGCAAGCGCAAGGCGCCGCTCGGCGGCGGCGAGCCCGATGCGGCGGCGGCGGCGGCAGCTAGCGGCGGTGGGGGCCCGGGGCCTGCCCCTGTGATTGAGGCTGTGCTGGAGAGCATGCCTAAGTGGGATTTGCTGAGGGAGGTGATGGAGGAGATCCAGCAGGAGCGGCAGGCGGTGCTGCAGGGGGTAATGCAGGGAGGCGACGGCGGCGCGCAGGGAGCAGCGCCAGGGGCAGCAGCAGCAGCAGCAGCAGCAGCAGCGGCAGGCGATGGCGAGGATGAGGTCATCATGCTGGATGGGGCCGGGGAGGGGCCTATGGAGCGGCAGGCTGCGCAGCCGGGCGTTGCGGCGGCGGCGGTGCGGCAGGCGGCGGCGGCCCCGGTGCTGGTGGTGTGCCAAGACACTTTCACCGCGGGGCAGGTGCGCTAGTGGAGCGGCTGGCCTGGCGCTGGAGCTTGCTGAGACGGGTCCTGTCCTGTGGCCCTGTCTTGTGGCACTGGATTGACAAGCGCTTGCCACACCACCACCCCGCCGTAAGAGCATGACTTCACGCACACCACACCACTGCCTGCACCCTCTGCAGCTGCGAGAGGTGCTGAAGAGCGGCGGGCCGGCGGCCCTCATGCAGCGCCTGTACCGCGATTACCTGCAGTACAAGCTGGACGGAGGCAGCGCAGGCGCCAAGCGCCGCACCACCGACGCGGCGGCAGCGGCCGCGGCGGGCGCGGGCCAGCCTGGCGCCTCTGCGGCGGTGGGCCCTGGCGGCGGCAGCGAGGTGCCGCCCTCTCTGCGCATGATGGGAGGGTACCGCCCGGGGGAGGAGATTGCTCTGATCAAGGAAGCAAAGTCACTGGCGGGCGGGGTGCCGGCAGCGGCGGCGGCTGCTGGCCGTGGCGGCAGGTGAGCGCACGGCCCCTTGCTGCCCACCAGCCCACTGCCGCCAACCGTGCCTCCTGTTACAGCAAGCAGGCCCTCCGCTGCCTGTTTGTCCCGCTTGCAGGGGCGGCGGGCGCGGCGGGCGGGGGCGGGGCCGCAAGGGCGGCAGGGGCCAGGAGGCCGCAGCAGCGGCCGCAGCCCTCGCCGTCGCCTCCACCTCGGGGCGAGGCCACCTGGAGTCCCCTCCACCAGCCCCCGCACGGGGCCAGGCAGCTGCCGCCGACGATGCCGACGCCGACGCCGACGCCAGCCCCCTGGGCGCAGCTGCCACGGATGGCGCTGCGGCGCGGCAGCCGGGCGGGGAGGCCGGCCCGTGCCAGCAGGCGCAGCACCACCCTCTGCTTGACGGCGTGCGGTTTGTGGCGCTGGAGGCGCACGACGTGATGGCGCTGTGGGAGGCTGCCCCCGGGTATGTGGTGGTGTACGACCCGGATGTCGCCTTCACCCGCCACCTGGAGCTGTACAAGGCGGCCAGGTGGGCACGTGTGGTGTGGTGTGGTGTGGTGTGTGTGTGTGTGTGTGCTGGGGGGGAAGGGAGAGAGAGAGAGAGAGAGAGAGGGTACAGGCATGCGTGCGTGCGTGGGCGTCACATCCACACATGGTACCTAACCCCACCCTGCCGCTGAGCCGCAGGCCCGGCCAGCCCCTGTGCGTGTACCTGCTGCGGTACGAGGACAGCTTCGAGATGGATCGCTACCAGGCGGCGGTGGCGCGGGAGCGGCAGGTGCGGCCCGCCGGCGCTGTGTGTGTGCGGGGCCCCGGCGGGTGTGCGCTGGGGAGCTGCGCCGCGCTGCCGTGTGAAGTGCACGTTGAGGCTGACCTGACCGCTTTGCCATGCAAGCAAGCAAGCAACGGAAAGCGCTTCCCACCACCAACCACTGCCCAACCGCCCCCGCAGGTGTTTGAGTCGTTGATCCGCAACAAGGAGATAATGATTCTGCCCATCGCAGCCGCCAGGGAGCAGGTGGGCTGTGTATGCATGCGGGTCGGCTGCCCCCCCTGCTGCGCCTGCACCGGCCTGCCGTGCCTGCCTTCCCGCTCCTCTGCCCAGGCACCCAGGCGCCTCCCCTTCACCTGCACGGCCCTCGGTCCTGCGCGCAGGTGGACCCCGCGCGCCGCCTGCCCGCCACCCACCGCGACGAGGAGCTGCCACTGCTGGGCGGGGCCAGCAACGCGCTGACGCGGCGCGCGGGCGGACGCGCCCCCTCCCGCCCCGATCCCAAGCGCGTGGTGGTGGATGTGCGGGAGTTCATGTCTAGCCTGCCCGCGGTGCTGCACCAGCAGGCGAGCGGGGCTGGGTGGGTGTGGATGATGGGGCGGTAGCAGTGGGGAGGCGGGCAGGGCTGACCGGCTGGCTGGCTGGCCGAGGGCGCGTCGCGGTCGGTGCCTCCCCCTCCCTGCTACAAACTATGATCCCTCCCTGCCTCATACCCTTAAATCCTCCGCTTTCCATTCCCCATCCACAGCCATCCACCCGTCCGCACACACACGCACACACACTCACATACACGCGCCGGTCCTCACGCGCGCGCCCCACCCGCCCCCCACCCGCCGCGCCCCGCCCTGCGCAGGGGCTGGAGGTGGTGCCTCTTACCCTGGAGGTGGGCGACTACGTGCTGTCTCCCGATATCTGCGCCGAGCGCAAGTCGATCTCCGACCTGCGCGCCTCGCTGGCCTCGGGGCGGCTGTACCACCAGGCGGAGGCGATGACCAAGCACTACAAGACACCTGTACTGCTGATAGAGTTCGAGGGGGACAAGGCCTTTGCGCTGCAGGTGTGGGGCGGGGTGTTTGTGAGTGTGTGTATTTGTGTGTGTGTGTGTGTGCGCGCGCGGTGGGCGAGTGCGTGGAGTGCCCGCTGCACTCCCCGCACATCCTGCCCCTGCCTCGCCGCTGAAAGCACCCGTGGCCGCCTCCTCGGCTGCGCCGCCTGCCCATACCACGCCGCGCCACGCCTCCTGGCCCTGCTCCCCGGCTCCCCTGCCGCCCCTGCAGGCCTCCAGCGAGATTGGGGACGAGGTGCAGCTGCACAGCCTGATGGGGCGCATCGCGCTGCTCGTCCTGCACTTCCCCCGCCTGCGCCTCATCTGGTCGCGCTCCCTCCACGCCACCGCCGACATCTTCCAGCAGCTCAAGGCCAACCAGGACGAGCCAGACCCGGTGACAGGTGGGTGCGGGGCAAGGCTGGCAGTGGTGGGCTGGGCTGGGCTGGGCTGGGCTGGCGGTGATGTGGGGCAATGGGCATCGTGGTTTGTGTGTCACTGTGTGCCAGGGGGGCAGGGACATATTGGAGGCGTGGGTTGTGTTGCAAGGGCTGAGGGTGCGAGAGGTGGGGCCCTGCCTTTCTGTCCATCCCGTTGCCGATGGACCCTGGCACCCTGGAGAGGCCAGTGTGCCTGTACCGCCTGTACCGCCGCGTCCACCGCCTTGCGGGCCTGCCCGCAGCTGCCACCGTGGGCGTGCCTGTGGAGGCAGAGGGCGCTGCGGCGGCCGGGGAGGCTGTCGTGAACCAGGCCGCCATCGACCTGCTGCGCAGGCTTCCGGGTGGGTGTCTGGGCTGCACTTGGGGCAAGTCCAGAGTGGTGCAGCAGCGGCAGGCCTCGCCTCTCGCCCTTGACCCACCGCCCTCCTTCCGGCCATGTTGCCGGGCTGCAGGCGTGACCGAGGCCAACTGGCGGTCGCTGATGCGGGAGGTGGGCAGCCTGGCTGAGCTGGCGGATGTGCCGGTGGACAGGCTGGCCACCATCATGGGCGGCCAGGCAGCTGCCAGGAAGCTGCACGAGTTCCTGTCCCAGGAGTGCAAGGCCCTCTTCTCGGCCCTGTAGCCCGGGCCTGCACTGCAGCAGCTGCCTGCTCTATCACAGAGTACCCTTTATTTTACGCTTCAAGTCGCTACCAGCTTGCCACGTTATTGTACTTTCAACTTCCAAATTACTTTGTACGTACAACGACTTGCCAGCAGTGCATCGGGATTCGAGTTGGCTACAGCTATGTCACATCAAACGGAATGGGGGGAAAACCCTAAATCAGGGCAAGGGGGAGCGCAGGGGCATGGAGCTCTATAGCCAACCACAGAGACACTAAGCAAGACGGGGCGGAACGTGAGAAAACTTGAGGAACAAACGGGGGCCTAGCTGCAGCTGAAAATTGCTAGGGCTTGGACCAGACGTGCAGGTCCCTGGCAACTGTGAGGGCAGGCTGCCAGGGGCAAGGAAGGGAGAGGGGGCGAGAAGCTGGGGCAGCCAGGAGGAACAGAGAACAGCGTGCATGCTCCATGCGATCACGCAAGGGCCTTGGCTGCTACTGGCGCTATCGCTGCGTGTGTCGCGGCGTCGCGGCAGCCGGGGCTGCCTCATCGCTCCCGCTCCTTCTCCCGCTCCTTCTCCCGCTCCTTCTCCCGCTGCCGCGCCTCCTCCTCTGCCTGCTGCTGCCACAGGCGCTGCTGCGACGCCGCCCGCTCCCGCCGCCGCTTGTCAAACTCCTCCAGCTCAGCCCGCGTCTCTCGCGACCGCTCCTCCAAATACTTCCTGCGGCAGCATGCATGGGCCCCTTGACAGTGACGATGTGGTGTGCTGCAGCATGCTCAGTATTTCAACCAGACACTCAGAAGGACATTGAAGGACAAAGGTTAGGAATGTTGTGAAGCGCATCAGCCGCATGCAGCAGCAGCAGCAGCAGCAGCAGCAGCAGCAGCAGCAGCAGCAGCAGCAGAGGAGAAGCATGCACCGAGGCATGCGCGGGCATTGTGCTGGACTCCTTGGCACTCGAGTGTTGAGGGACGCCAGCCTTGCCATGCCAGCATCGCAGCGCAGTGGCTAGGGCGCCCGCGCACCTGTCTGGCCTCCGCCGCCGCGCCTCCTCCGCGCTGCGCGTGCGCCCGCCCACCTCGGTGGTCAGCTGCTTGCTGTACCGCCCCAGGGAGCGTACCGCCTGAGGGATGCCCAGCACCAGGCGGCGCAGCACAGAGGGCAGCTCCACCTCCACAGGCTCCGTCTGGGCCACACGCTCCACCTGCAGGGCAGGGCAGGGCAGGGCAGGGCAGCCAGCACGTGGAGCAGGCACAGTGATTGCGTGTGAGGCCAACTCGCCGCAGCACGCACCCCACGCCACCTATGCCCCTAGGGCCAGGCCAGGCCTCCCTGGGCCGCCTGCCTGCGCGCCCACCTGGACGTGCAGGATGCAGATGAGGAGGGAGAGGAGGGCAAAGCCGTCCAGCTCAAAGCCGTTGGCCAGGTAGGGAAGGGCGTAGATGAAGGCGAGGGCGTAGTAGAGGGCGGATGCCTCCTCGTCGTCCAGCGCCGCAAACACCCAGGCCTGCAGGGAAGGGCACAGAACAGTGGCGTTTGCGGTGGGTGGGGCGGGCGCGGGGTTCCAAGGCGCACCATGTGGCGTGGTGGGCGGCTGCAAGGCTGGGGGGCGGCGCAGAGGGGCGCGAGCGCAGCCGGTCACCATGGGGTTGATGAAGGGCAGCACGCTCAGCACGCCCATCACGCTCCACCGGATGTTCTCTGCAGCAGCAGCGAGGCAGGACAGCAGCGGGTGGCAGATGCTGAGGTTAGGCGCAGCCAGTGGAAGAAGAAAATTCTGGGAGCAATAGATCTTGCAGTCTTCCTAGCTGCTCCATAGAACAACCCCCGTTACCCGCCCTCCGCACCCGCGCTCTCATCCGAGTCGGGCGAAGCGTACCGCCGCTCGTTGCGCTCCCGGCTGTCCCCTGTCAGGGCTGGCAGCGCCGAGAAACACAGGGCCAACAGGTATGCTATGCCGCAGCCCGTCTGCAGGCTGCTGTACAGGTCCGGGGGCAGGCTGTAGAGGCCGCCCTGCGGCCGCACCGGCTGGCGCAGGCGCCGCCGCTGTGAGGGCAGCGGCGGCGGCGGCGGCGGCGGCGGTGGTAGCAGCTGGGAGCCGCCCCGCCGGTGCTGCCAGGCCGGTGCGCCCATCTGTGCATGCGGCAGGCAGGGAGCCGCCAGCTTAAGGGCCCAGCTTGCGCCAAGGGCTGGCCTGGCCCATACCAGCCTGCACGACGCGCCGCAGGCTGCCAGCGCCCCTAAAACCGGCATCTACGCAATCTTGTGGGGCCTTGAAGCAGCAGCAGGCCTGTCTAGGGTTCGTCTGCAGCGACCCGGCTCCCTCCGAGGAGCCCCCACGAGAACTCTCGTGGGTGTTTAAGGTGCTTCGGGGTGTCGATGGGCGTAGGGCAATCAACAATTCGCAAAGACGCGCCCAATCGGCAAACTGGCTGCATGTAGTTGGCTGCTGCTGTGCAGAGGCGGCCGCCAGGCGGAAAGGCTATTGGGCGACTAAATGGCTCAAGTTTGCAGAAGAGAGGCATTCCCAAACACCGTAAACATCAACGTGCGTGGCATTTGATGCATGCTACTGTACACTACAGGAAGGAATACAGCTGAAGCGGTGCACGAGGCTGCGGTCACACCTGCTCCATCAGTCCCGGCTGCGCGCCACAAGCGGGAGGTCTGTGCCGCGATGGGCGCATCGCAGCGGGAGGGCCGTGCCGCGAGGGGCGCATCATGCCAGCGCGCTACCGGGCCGCTCGGCGGGGCGGTCGCACCCGGCGGGCGGCTCAGCAGCAGGACGACTGCGCGCGGCGGGGCGCCGCCTGCGCATTCACATCCACCGTCTCGGGGATGTACAGCTCCTCCTCGCTCTCGTTCTTCAGCGCGTTGCGGGCGATGGTCTGGAAGGCGTCGTCCACGTTGAGGTCCTCCTGCGGGGCGGGGAGGGCGGGGCGGGTGCCACGCG